TTATACATAAGAGTGTTGTGATTAAGGATCAATACATGTGTATGATGATGTAGAAAATATTCAGATAGAGTTAATGAGCTCATAAAATATTTGATTCGAATAAATAAATAAAGTTAGAAAGGGAAAATTCTGGAACATTGAAATAGTGATTAGAACTCATGAAAATAGATTAATAGTAATAAAGAAAATATGAATTAAAACCAATCATTTATGTATGATGTAATTTAAACTTCAGAAAGAGTTGGAAGATGGGGAATGACGTAATAAATAAAGTTAGAAAGGGAAAATTCTGGAACATTGAAATAGTGATTAGAACTCATGAAAATAGATTAATAGTAATAAAGAAAATATGAATTAAAACCAATCATTTATGTATGATGTAATTTAAACTTCAGAAAGAGTTGGAAGATGGGGAATGACGTAATAAATAAAGTTAGAAAGGGAAAATTCTGGAACATTGAAATAGTGATTAGAACTCATGAAAATAGATTAATAGTAATAAAGAAAATATGAATTAAAACCAATCATTTATGTATGATGTAATTTAAACTTCAGAAAGAGTTGCTATAATGACTTTATTTATTTATTCGAATCAACACATTTTATGAGCTCATTAACTCTATCTGAATATTTTCTACATCATCATACACATGTATTGATCCTTAATCACAACACTCTTATGTATAAATATGTCAATATCTGTAATAATGTTGAATTTCAAATAATTTAGGATGTAAGCAGCTGATGAGAACCTAACGAAATAAAATGAATTCATATTATTCTGCACCAATCTTTGTTCTTGCTCTATTTAAGATAATAAAGGGAACTATGTGTAAGAATATTGTTATATTGTCCTTAGTTATAAAGAATGTCAAACAAATATTTACTGTTTATCAATGGGACAAATTTAAATATTTCTTTATTGATTAAAGGCATCCTTATTGATTCACCGTTTCAGTTGAAGTCTAAAATATGACATTACTCATTCTTCTATTATTATTCTCATTATTATGATTTTCAATAACATTTCACTACACTAAAATAGTCATTGTTATTCCTAATATTGTTTGGTATGAAACATCTATTCATCAATAATTTAAAGTGTCATTCACACTCATTTTGTACATGATAAAAGAAATTTATTACATTTTCAATTAAAGCAATGAAATAATAACCAATACATTGAAGGAGTGGAATGTAAAAGGAAGGGAAAAATCAAAACAGTTTAACTTTACGTGAACAAAATTCAAATTTTTTTGTATGTATTACCGTTTATTGGATATTGTTAATATATGGACTTATTTTTAGAAAATAGTAAGTTTATAAGCAATGATAGATGGTGACTAGCAGTAGGATTCATGACGCGCGTTTCGTCCCATTTGAGATCCGTCATCTAGTTTCACCTGTGTCCCAGCGGGTATCAGGACTCAGTAGCTAAGTGGATAACGCGATGGAGTTCGAAGCGAACGGTATTGGGTTCGAATCCCGGACTGAACATTAAATCTAGGATGTAGGCACATCCAGCTGACGAGTCTCAAATAGGACGGAACACATATCCTGTAATCCACTGCTAGCCACTATCCGTCTTTGCTTAGAGTGCTTGTGAATTAAGACAATATTGAGGCAATACGCACATATGCCAATAAGAGACTGATCAATTGAAGTCCTAAACATCAATGAGTAGATGCAAGTAAACAATACAGAATGAATTTAACATTAAGTTTATATTAAATAAAGTGAAGATATCTGATATTTTTACGGATAATTTACTTTTATTACTATTCGTTCATACAAATTTAAGTAAATTACATTAAAGTATTCAATAATCTACAGACTGGTTAAAAACAGACAAGACGGAACAACAAAAACTTACTATCCGAAATTAATGAGACTTATTATTGAACAAAAGAGAACATAAAAACTTTTAATCCACTTCGTTTAGAAAATTATTTTGTACGCACAAATAAACTAAACTAATTAATAAGTCACTCTGAATTAATAATTTATTCCTCTTACCTTTGCAAAAATCATGGGCATTTGTGACGTTCCGTATAAAAATTACTCTAACTAAATATAAACAACAAAAATCAATTAGTACAATTAGCTGACAAAGTATTGTGTTTCTTTAATGAACCATGCGCATGTATGCACCTAGAAGCCTGATACACATTTATGTTATATATATTCGTCATGAATGACTATATAATACAGTTTTACGTTACTACATACCAAAGACCTTTATTTGATTAAGGTTAAGGAAATGTCTACCACTGAAACAGAGTTCATTGACCTTAAGATTAAATGCTTAGTACTGGACTCTATTTAATGAGACCCCAAAAATACTACAGTGATTATAAACAGGTTGCATAACACACAGGATAATTTTCGAAACATTTCAAAGTTTGAAATTTGCTAGTAGATTAGTATAAGTTATTTCAACGTTTCAAAGAACTTCAAATTTACTTCGCTATACTAAAGCTGTTATATAAAACACTAAAATTGAATCTATGCATCAGAAAAAATTCAGTAATCAATCTTGTTTCGGACACGAATAAAAAGACTTGGATGAGCATGCCTTTGACATGAATACAATACCAAGAAAATGAAATATCATTCAATTGATAAAATAAAGTCTCTGATCAGCTTAAGAAATAAATTACGCAAAATAAATTCAGAAAGAAGTTACATTATGGGTGAACAAGAGTGAAAATATTAATATTAAATTCAGAAATATCGGATTATTTTTAAATGGAGACTAAAATAAACTGATTCAGTTAGATTCACTTGGTTGGTAAGGGAAGTAATATGTTAGAAAACCCGAAAAACTAACTGTTTTTCCATTTCAATTTTTCTACAATATAATATTAATAACACTGAACTTGGTAAATGAGTTACAATCATTAGTATAAATCAATTTTAATTAAATAAACTTTATAAGAGAGTCCAGATATAATTAACACTAAACTTTTCAACACTGAAACATAAAGATCCCATCGAATATAATATACCTGGATGTTATAAATCATGTGTTTCATACCATATGTAATATTTAAATAAAAGTTGCCATAGTAACTTAAAAGGGTTAGAACTAAGTATGGATCAACACAAGGGAACATTTATCTTTTGTAAGAGAGGTTATTTTTATCACATGTGTTTAATATAATTCATGTATATTTCGATGTAAATGAGTTATTATACATAAACTTCACTTATCAAGTGGTCTCATTGCTTTGCATCCTTAGTCACTTTAAAAAAACGCGTTGTAGAATATAGTACAAACATACTTATTTTGAAACAAAAACAAAGTACGTTTGTATATTTATATTAACCTTATAGGATATTGTTGGATACTTAGGCGCCTGTTCCTATATAACGCTAGATGATTTTGTCAGTACTACGTTGAATTACTTAACTAAGTGCATGTTTATATCCCCATGCTTTGTAATCTGACTATTGGACATTAAAAAAGTAGATATACTGATTGAATAATCTTGCAATGGAATGAAACAAATACTTGGAAAAAAGTTTTAAATCAAAGTATTTTTCGGTATATTCTCATCGCATCAAACCAAATAGATAAATGAGCGGGAAAATATTCTTTTTGATACAGTTTTATAAGTTTCATTAGTTATCACTTATACCGAATAGTCATGTGGGAGTAAAATAAAAATGTGTTAAGCTAAAAGATATGAATGAATTTAAGGTTGTACAAACTGAAATAACTTATGTTAAAAATTCTTGAGATGAATAAATATAGGTGATACGAGAAATATAACAATAAATTAGCTGACGGTATCAGAATATTTAACTGATCAGTGCTCATCATTTTCATACGTTTAAACCATGAACTGATACTAGCTTGACAACCATTGAAAACTATTACGTACCTAACAGCTATTCTTTCCTAGTGTGGCATCCCTTGGTGATCTTCATTTCGTTGCACAAAAACTTATTCAATTAGAAACTTTAAATTATAAAACTGAAAATGATTAGCATAAGGTGTACAATGATTTGTTTATAGTCAATATTTGTATAAACTACATACTATTACCAAATGGCTTTTATCAATTATTTCAGTTCAAATGATTTTCTACCGTAAGTGATGCAAGTATTTTTATTCATTTATTGTTTCTCCCGTCGGAATTTTTCCATTACATCATAATATTTTAAAAGTTATGTGACAGAATTTTGTACCAAGTGTTAAACTATTAAAGTTTGCTTGTTTGTTTTCGTATGTTCATGATGATTAGTGAAATTTAGTCATTCGCTCAATTATAAAATGGAATCGATTATTTAATGGCCTACATTTTATTCATGAATAACATCTTGTTATTCATTTTCAGCTTCTTCTGAACTGAGCGTTAAGTTTTATTTCATCATTTGTTAATTCCGTCAGTTTATCAGGTGATTTGACTTCTGTCGCTTAATTGAAATGGGTATACAGAAACACAGCCTAATTAATGTAATTTTTTAAAATTTCGAATCACATCAATGGTTATCCGAGTAACTATTTTAGTGTAGTATTCATCTTTTCAATAAAATTATTTCTTTGTCATGTATATGCATGTATCATACGTGATATTAAACACTAGGATAAAATTAACATCGATAAATAATACTGCTCGTTGTCTATTCAATATGACTTTAATAATTGTATCTAACAACCATGGCCCTTTCATTAAACGAATTTTCACCTATCATCAATGTCGTTACCTGTCCCGATTTGATGTGGATACTTTTGTTGTGACAATCTGATTATTATTTAATCATTATTTATCATTATTTAATCATGCCGACAGCTAGTCTTGGTTAAAATAGGTAGTGAACAATAATACCTCCTACTGTTAAGTAGAACAACACTAATTAAAGTTTGAAAGGAACGTTATTTTTTGGCAAGGTCACCAACTTAAACAAGAGCAGTATGTAAGCCGTTTTTAGCAATAAGAACGGAAATTGTAAAATTCATCATACTATCATGGTTTATATTACGTTAAACTCACCCTTTTTATAGAATTCATTGTACTACTATCGGAATCAAATGACTTATCCAAATTTTGTCCGGAACGCAATGCTTCTTTTTCTTGTTTTAACAAATCAACATAAAGTTGTAAATCATGAATTCGAGTCTATAAAAACGAAAACATAATAAAATTTGAAACTTAGTTATATATAATGGAGACGAAATCAGAAATAACTAAATCCAGAATGATATAATAAACTATAAACACCGTTCAAATGTACAATGTATATATCTCTAAAACTCATAAGTAGCTTTTGACCATGATATTGGCTTATGGAGAATCGATTCTCAGAAGGTATACGAGTATTCATGACTACTATAAATTTTTAAATATGCTGTTTTAAAGCAGCCGAAATACATGCGTTGTGATTAACTATCATGATACTGATAATGAGATGATGTACTACATTCGTCATTCCATAGATTCCGCAAGGTACGAACGTCAAGAACATGACTTCAATTTTAACTTACTGAATATTTTTTCGCAGAATTGATCGAAGTGATAAACAAATCATTTTTTCAGATGTGTGCCTTAGCCACTCAGACAAGTATGCTTAGAATCTCCTAACGAAATTGAAACATTTTACTTAAGGTAAATGCAAATATTTGGTACAAAGGAACATGTTCTCTATTCAAACTGCGGAAATGATCGCTGTATATTTAAACCTTTAAACTAGGTCGTTCCAGTCACATTCAGTAATCTTATATGAAGTATGATTATCTAAATTTGTTATATGAACGATACTCTTGTTTTATAATTTGTTTGATTTTTAAGACTGTCATTAAAATAATATTGAATAATCTAATGAATCACTTCGAAGTTTTGAAATTATTTAGGAGAACAATGTTGACAAGCACATGAAACAAGAAAAAGACCACTTACTTTATAACGTGTTGTATCTGATCTTAATGTTTCTAATTCAAATTTTAGTTCGATATTTTCATTATTAAGTCGCAATAGATCACGCTGAATTGCTTGTTCTAACTGAAGTTTCGTTGGGCTAACAAAACCTTTGTCTAATAACTGTTTCTCCAGATCGGCTATACGTTCAATTAAAATTTTGTTACGCATATCTGCACTCTTGGAAAATAGGATATAGGATAGTTGGGAAATTCATAAAATGTAAAAATAAATTTGTCGCTCCATCACAGTGTTTAAAACTCATAAAATCACTTCACTGAAATTAAAATTCATGTGTAATCTATCGTTTAATTCTAGCAAATATTAGTTTATGTCTTCTAAAATTCTTGGTAGTCTCAACCATGCGTGTTTGGATTTAAATGTTGCACGCGCCCTGGGGATACAATATCGAGAAAACTTACTTCGATGATAAATACGCTAAATATACTAACCGGTTCAGTTCATGTAGACTAATGAGTCTTTTCAATGTCTTCTGCAATTATCATTACGATTTAATTGATCAGATTTCTGGGATAACTGAATTGGTAGATGATTTGGGGAATCGACTGTAACAACTCAACAGAACAGATTTGGAACAAATGGTCAATAGTTAAGTGACTAAATATACTACGTCGACAGTTGTTATTTGTATACAAAATATCCAACCGCTGTATAATGAGTGACTATAGGTTACGTGTCAGGAAAACAAGAATGTTAAATGAAGATCATTACACCACTAATGGCTCTTCATCCTTATTTATCGTATCACATTACACTTTATATTCGTTAACTCTGTTATATTTTTTTACCTACTTTATAATAAGACATGAAAGCTCTGTAATAAGCAACTTTTTCATGGGGTTTTTAAATATATAGCAATTCTTTTCTTTAGTTTAGATTGCATGATGTGGCTAATACTTAGTTACTATCTGTTAATCTGACAATACTTACTCTCGTGTTGGAGATTATTATCACAAGAGATTATTATCACAAAAAGAGATTATTAATACAAAAAGGGCCAGTTTTAATAGTTGTCGGCTATCTAATTTGTGTTTGTGGTTGCGATGTCACATTATAGACTGACTTAAAACCATGCTAGTATCTCTTTTAAATTTCATCTAAAATAAATTCCATTTAGTTGCATTCAAGTTCTAAAGCATCCGCTTGGTTTTCTTATCACTAAAAGTTACTTTGTAGCTAATGCTTGACTTAAATAATTTTGTAACCAACTCCATGGGAGTTTATGTTGAGCCAGTGAATATTGACAAATACATTTACATAAGTATTGTAATATAATTAATAATTTAACTGGATAACGAAGAAATTTGAAGCATTTACACCGTTTATGTATTGAAAATGAATAAAACAACATGAAATTATTTAGTCTATTTGTTCGTGAGTATGGAAATTGTAATTTAAGACTTTCAATTGTATCTGTGTTAACGGTTCGATCGATAGGATAAAATTTAAAATTAACTGGGAGCGTAGAATCGTTAATTTTTTCAAAGAAACAATTCTTGAATCCTGCATAAAAAAGATTTTATAAGATGGAATTACAACTCAGCTGACTTATTGGATATAGATCATATTAAATTTAAACGACTGTTTACATTTAAATACCCCCCCCCAAAAAAAATAGTATAACTGTGATTTACATGACATTTAACAAATGAAAAAATCAAGAATGCTAATGACAGTTACAGACCATCTAAAATTTAATCAAATTCATTTGTTGCAACAATGTAAAATGTACACTTCTATCTTCCACATTTGTGAAGTGTTAAAGAACTAGGAAAAAGGAAGTATATTATACGTGATTTATGAATAAAGATAATGTAACCTAGTGATATTTTAAGAAATTCATTTTAAACGAATAAAAACAACCTTTATTCACTATCAGTTTTGATTGTGTATTTGAAAACAGTATGTGTTAATTCTGTAGTGTTTCTTCAGGAATCCCTAGAAACTTACTAGAAAAAAACATACTTCAGAAAGAAGCTTGACCATGACTAGTTTTTATTATCAAGAATTTGATTGTCATTATAATGAATAAATAAAACTGTCTGTTTCGTTAATACACATAAACCTAAGTTATTCTAATACAACAAAAAATGACTAAATTTAAAAGTATGGACATATTCTAGGTTGACGACCTTCGGAAACGCAGTTTGCTCTAAGTTTAAAGGTCTAAACAAGAGAGTCACTGAAACAAATCAGTTTATCTACAACTATTAATTCAAATATTCACAAATACTCTTTGATACTGTATTTTACCACGTAAGCAATAGGACTGATCCTATGAATTGTACATTATACACTGAGTACAGCAAACATTTAAGGATATACATCAAAACTTAGGAAAAATGAATATAAGGAAGACAATGCTTACGCAACATATTTATACTAATCGTCAATCTTCAATTTATGCAAATGGTAATCTTTTGAAAGTGACTGCGGTTTACGAGCGAATTCTATCAGACAAATATGTTTGGACGATATCAGAATTTTACTACGGTAATTTAGAAAGATATCATCTATGTGATCACGTAAGAATAATTTCAAAACCTCAAATACATCGATATTTGACGTTTCCAGTATGAGGGTCCGTGAAGACTGTTGAATGTTAGTGATATCACAAACTGAGGTAGATTAGATAACCGCTAAAAACCGGTAATCACTGAAGAGCGATCTCGTCCCAGTTTGTGTTAGGCTTTCGCCACGAAAACTGAAGATCTCCGCCTCAATCTTCTGTAGGGTCGCGTATGAGCAGTGATGTGTAGTTCTATACACGAACTGGCCAGTAGTCCAGTGTTTGCCGGTTTTTGGTGGCTGTCGTGAGTAGGTTACCTCGTGATCTCAATAACATTTAACGTCATGCTGGTTTATGCCCTCAGCACTGGAAAATTTGTTAAGGAACATCGTTGTACCTACTTTACTTTGTGTAGCCAGAGGGTTTGTTAGTAGCTTTCATACAAATGTATGTCACAAAGTCCAGTATACAAATCTGCTCATAGTTATCAAGGTATGCTAGGAACAATTGCTTGAAACAGTTAATATCAAAGAGGTTTCTTCTTTATAATAAATTCTAATGAATACACACAATAAAGCTCACTTTTATCAACATGGTATCTGTATTCAGTGACTTTGTCCCAGGTGGCAAACCTGCTGACATTCTTTGGGCTCTTCGAAGTCTTTCAACTTCAGATTGTAATTCCTCTACTTGTTGATGTAGGTCAACACGTTCAGAAATCGACGACCGATTAAGAATTTCGTTTTTATTTTGCTCCATTGTTAGATCATTTGACTCATCAGGTATGGCACCTGGACCCCATACTTCATTGACTTTCTCTCTTAAATATTTATTTTGTCTTAGAAAATAAAAACATAAACCAAATATTCAAAGACTGATCTGGTGAAAGTTATTTGCTCGGACATAAGATATGTAAATTCGATATATTGAATATCAACTCTAATACCTGTTTGTACAAACTCGTAATGACAATAGTTAACAGTCAATTGGAGAATAAATAAAGCTATCACGATCTAACTAGATTCGAGTAAATCAGCCAACAAAATTACTCCCGCTATTTCTAAAGTAAGTGTGTAGAAAAATCCAAGATATGTCATGTGTCTTGTCTATATGTCAGACAATTTCCAAAATAACTGTAGATATCAGCACTGAAGTCACGTGGATTCAGCTAGACGTGTTGTATAGTCTAGCATATCGATTACCTGTCACTAATTGACTAGAAATTTAATGTTGTTTAAGTGTTATTTATTGATTTTTATACTTCTTAAGACTGGCTTTTGAAGTTACTACTAGTTAGTCGTTTATTCGGTCTCAAATACATTCAAACCCTTTGAACTTAATGTCGTAGTAATCCGCCTGAATCGCTTCATGATTGTAGTGTGTTTGGATGCCAGAATAGTTATTCAAAAAACTTTGTCAGTTTTTAGTTTTAAAAAAACAATGGATTAAGGCACAACAGAAGAGGTCAAAACTTCATAAGATTAAATTTTCCAACTAGCTTATCAGCCTACAATAAATAACAAGTAAACTATTCTGGGAGTTCATCTGTTAAGTTTCTTCTGACACCCGCATGAATATAAGACTTTATACTAGGTTTTTACGTTATTACTGACTTAATCATTACTTATCTTAATGGAAAGATACCGAGACATTGTTTCTTTAATGGACAGAAATAATGCATTGACATAAAGTCAAATAAGTACTAAAGTTAGGTTTTCATACACTAAGCGAAATTCAAGTCCAATGATACTGAATCGCATTGTAAGGATGATAATAAGATATAACGCTTCAAAACTCCTCGGATTAAGAAATATCTACATAAATAATCTAATTCAGCTGCAAGTGAATAGACTTTGGTGATTATTAACATATATTGTTATGGTTTTCATTTTTAATCCTCAAATCGGAAAGTAAAATGTACCCTTTATTAGCCTCTTATCAAACAAATTCACTGAGAGACTAAACACAGAAAATAAGCAAACTCAGTAACTAATGTTCGATGTCATATTCATCAATTTAGTAGTGAGACTGTAGACTTCTAAACGAAAAAACTGTAGTCAACAAAGACTACGGTGATGTTATTTTGTTCAAAATTTGTAGTTTTTAAAGAAATTTTATTTCTAACCTGTTCGTTCGTTCAAGGGCATTCCTTGTTAGATCCAATTGTTTTTGAATAGAAGTGAATTCTGAACTTTTTTTACTTAGTTGTTCTTTTAATTTATTTATCTCAGCTTCCAAACGTTTACGTGCTTCCCATTCATTTGTTAAGCTTTTTATGTCCTAACCAGAAAATATTCAAAAAGCATGAAAATATCAATATTGTATCAAAAATATTATAAAATCAAGTTAATCAGTATCTTATATGGAAAAGGAAGATATATATTGACGAACATGCAGACTAAGTGAAAAATGTTTGTTAAGCTATTTTAATCATATCCAGATTTCTTTATCTCTCAACTTCCATGAATACAAACTGAATTCCAAGCTCTTACTTACTTACTTTATTTACGCCTGTTACTCCTAATGGAGCATAGGCCGCAGACCAGCATTCTCCAACCCACTCTTTCCTGGGCCTTCTGTTCTAATTCTAGTCAATTCTTGTTCATTTTTCTCATGTTTATCTCCATTTCCCGGCTTAATGTGTTCTTTGATCTTCCCCTTTTCCTTTGGCCTTGAGGATTCCATGTGAGTGCTTGTCTTGTGACGCAGTTGGGTGCTTTCCTCAATGTGTGTCCTATCCACTTCCAGCGCTTCTTCCTGATTTCTTCCTCCGCTGGAATCTGGTTTGTTCTCTCCCACAGTACGTTGTTGCTAATAGTGTCCGGCCAACGGATCCGAAGTATTTTGCATAGACAACTGTTATAAACACCTGTATTTTCTGGATGATGGCTTTCGTAGTTCTTCAGGTTTCTGCCCCATACAGTAGACATTTGTATTAAAAATCCTGACCTTGGTGTTGGTTGACAGTTGTTTTGAGTTCCAGATGTTCCTCAGTTGTAAATATGCTGTTCTTGCTTTGCCGATCCGCGCTTTTACATCTGCAAACTCTATCAAAGTCTAATTGTCATAGAAGTTTTAACTGCTTAGCGATACTAGTAGTCTGTACTCAGTGCATAGGTTAGTTTAAACTTCTTAATTCTAATAAGCTAATATTAAGTTTCGTGAGACTGAACTCTTGATAATACATTTTTGAGATTAAACTATAAAAGTACTGAGAATATTGTCTACCAATTAGTATGATCTAATAAGCATAGTAGTATCATTAGTTTTTCTTCTAATTTACATACCTCACAAAACATAAATAAAGAGAAGAAACATTACGTTCTGATTAATTCTTTTAATGTAATAATTATAATTATGATAAAAACCGATGTCGATTAAACGGTGGTGTGTCAAATAGCAGTATTACGAGTTCAAAAGTATTTACGAAAATAATGACAAGTAACTGATGACATATCTAATAGAGGGGAGTTGATAGATTAATTATAATGTTCGGAGTTGTTAGAAGATAATACTCATAATAATAACGTAACAAGAATTAAATTAGCCCGTTTTTTATAGGACTGATAGAGTACATAATGTCTAAAATAATCGAGAAGAACAAGTCGACAATTCACTAAAGTTACCTAAGAATGAGGATAGGAATGTTACGATTGTGTAAGAACAAAATAACATGAGAGAACCTGAAAACTTTGGCAAAAAATAAAGGCTAAATGATTTGAATTGATGAAGAATAATTTGTCATTTGATTATTCGTTTTTATCTAGTGGAAAAGTTTTAGTTTGTGAAGAGGTACCTCGTGACAGTTTGGAATCACATAACCTTGTCATTTTAACTAAAACAAATTAGCTTATCCTGATAAGAAAAATTACAATATGATTTACAACGTTTGGTTTAGTTTATGAAGGAAACTAAATGCATAAAAGTTTTAGTTCACTACTTTGTGCTAATTTGAAAAATATTCTCACAGTTAAAATACTGATATGAACCTTTTCATCTCAACGAATTGGACGGTTGTCTATAAATGTAGCTACATACTGTTGCATAATTAAATCTATTATGATTTTAAACTATGTAGTGTCAAATATCTAGCCAATCTGTGGTGTAAATTTATGGTGAAAAAGAGTAATCTAAAAAAATTGAATTACAACATACCCTGTTATCTTGATATGGTTTTTCAGGTATCATTCGAAGCCTGTTGTTTTCTTCTTCAAGCATTCGATTTTTTCTTATAAGTTCATCAACTTTTGGTGGCGTGTTCAACGTCTTAAATAATCATAAAATTATTGAAGATCTATTTTTTATATTGTTATTAAATACAATAATGTTTATTTTGAATTTAATTCCTGAAAATATCTATCGTCACGTACCTGGAGCCTAAATATGCCTTTGACTTTCAAAGACTATATTTCACAGCCATAGTATAATACAGAGTGTACTGTTGTGAAAAATACTCGCTTTAAAGCTCGTAGGCCGATATCTCAACTATTTCACAAGTGCAGCAAGTTGGCAAAGGTTAAACGAGATTTCTGAACTTGTATCGTATTTCCATCAGACATCAACCCAGAAGGGATGAAGAGGTTTCCAGGTTATTTGGTGTGATCAACTAGTTCACACCCCATCACTAGTTAAGGATTTGACGCAGATCAGTTATAAAGCAACATTTTGCACTTTCAGAGGGGTAAGAGTATCTTAAACATGCTTTTATTATTACTGAAAGTGTTCATAAAACGTTTGCCAGTTTCTTAACCGAATAAGACTGCATCGGAAGCTGAAAACCGATGGACATCTATTACATTCGTTAACACCATTCATCGCCCCCTAGTTTTCAAAAGTTCTCGAGCTAATATCAGTTCCTGAAGAAAATTATCCCCTAGTCATATTACACAAAAAAATCCCATATTTCACAAAAGAACAGGGCTTGTCCATTTGATGAGATAATAACAATATTAAACTTCAAGCGATATTATCTGATGTATTGCATGCAGTTCTAGAAATAAAACTGAATATGGTAAGAGCCTTGACTGACATCAGATTACGATAACTACATGTACGATTGTTTTTGCTCCGACGTAACTGCAGCCTGATTTTAACTCCTCAAAGAACAGTTACCGATGTACGCAAATCAACGAGACGCGGAAGAAAAAGAAAATCTACAACAAGACCATGAAATGATAATTGATTCACCATACTTATCACCGCCCCATTCTTTGTTTATATACATATGAATTTATCGAATAGAATATTCTTCGTTCAAATACTAGTCTTTTGATATGACGGGGATCTTTAAACAATATACATATGAATTGATCTTCTTTTGAGGATCAACTCAAATAGCCTTTATTCTACTTTGTAATCGTCACTATCACGGTATGCTGAATAGTTTTCTCGTATTTTTTGGATGGCTGAACTTATGTAAAAGTGGTAAACAGTGAAACAAAACCAATAACTACATCGTTTTACAAGTTATAATTGAATGGAGTAGAAAACTATTGCAATCGATAGTTATAACTTGTATGTCTACCATTCACCAAAATGAAATTAACGAAAACAGGGTGATTGACAAAAAATATAGCACACGATTAGGATTTATAGAAGGAATATGTTTCATAATGATTACAGCACAATATGTTACACCATACTGTTTGTATAAACCAACCAAAAGTTTTTCATAACAAACTTCTAGTTCATATTCAGAATGTGAAACAAATTCTCAGTCTTCACAGTGTGCAATACGTATATTGGTGATATAACATTTACCAAATTATGTTATTTGATTATCAGGCTTAACATTTTTATTGGAACACATGGCGAAGAAAATGTGAGATATTTTAAATTTTGTTCAAACGAACATGCTAGTCTGTCTAAATGACAGATAATGAGATTTATTACCTTCTGTAGCCTTGCAATGACTTTATGTGTTTATTTTAGCCTGTTGACTGTTTTCCAAACAATTTTCAAGTAAGTCAATTATATCACTAGATGTCTACATACAATTATCAAAAATACATCGGTTTTTGAAAGGCTTTTTGAGTTATTGCTACTTCAGTATTAAAATATTCAACATTTCTCACACATTCCTAGTTTTACACCCATCCGTCACAAAAGAAATCTGGTTAGATATATCACAAGCAGAGCAGGAAAAATCTGTTCAGATGATACCATAATAACACACTAAGGGAGATCGGTTACTTGGGTTTTCTGAAGAAGTATGTGTATGAACCGAAAAGATAAGTTTGAGATATTGACCACTCTCAATATACTCCTATTCCTAAAACTATAATTCACTGGGAGTACGGCCAGCGATTTCCTGCATGGTAAATTAGCAAGGGCAATTAAAATGACATTCTAAGCAACTAAGCTTGCGTTGACAATTCCTAGTAGACCAGTGATGTCTACTCAAAGGATAAGTTACCTAAGTTTTCCTCCTTGACTTCCATCTACAGATTCAGCTGCTCCTGCGTAAATAGCTATTTTGGGCGTACTACTAGACAACTTAACCAACTAATGAGTGAACATCTCCCAGCTTTGTTCAGAAAGGGTCAGATAAAGGCAATATGTAGTTCTATCTTGTCACATCTGGTTGACAGTGGACACGGTAGATAAAATCGAATCACTTCGGGTGGTCTATTGTCGACCTTCGCATCTCCCACGAAATTCGGTTCCACCTATCGCAAGTAACAGGAGCTATAGAGATCCAGACCTATAACCTTAGTTTATGTTTTAAGTAGAAAGTCTTGACACCTCTCTCCTTTCCTTTGCCGGATATAACTTGGTAAACGATCTTATCAATTTATTCATATTCCATATTTATTTGTCATTTTTCAATTCTTTCCGTTTATATTCTTCAGTATCTAATTATTTATGCATTTCCTATTGTGTAGTCTTAATAACTTTTTGTAATTATTGTTTATTTAAGTCTGTTTATCCAGGTTTGACCTACTTCCAATGTTGAACTGTTAACCAGAACTTTTGTTATGTTATTATTATTCTTATTACTATTAGTACACCTGTCTTCATACTATCAGTTTCTACTTTTTACCCATCCGTTTCATTATGATCATTGACTCATAATTTGACTTCATATTTTTATATAAATAGTCATGTATATATTTGTTCAATTAACCGTTATTTCATATTGTTTTAGTAAATGAACAAGATAAGTATCACAGTTGTAAGAAACATAATAATAAAATAAGTCAACTATTAGCATTTTAGCAGTTGATCGATGAGGCGGAGTTTGTTTTATTTCTAAACCGGATTCACACTCTAATGCGATTTGATACTGTATAGAAAGTATATTGGAAGAACAACTTAATCGATTACTGATTAGTAAACATTTTCATTATCTTGTTCTAGTAATGTTCAAACTCCATCAATTAAATTACGTTGTGATCATTAGACCAAGTGTTGGAGTATCGTGGTTATTTTGTTTGTATTTAGATGTTTGGAAGTAATCACTGGGGGATTACAGGATTACAATTCGTAGTAGTACCAACTCTTCAGTATACTAATCTTGTACTTGAGTTTCTCATAGAAAATTTTAAATATAACCAGCTATATTTCAATATTACGAAATATATTTAAAAGATCCCGACTGTATTATTTAACTTACTCTAGTACACTTGATACTTTCCAACTGATTTTTCAGATCTTTGCACTCTAATTCCAATGTTTTGTTCAAGTCTTTGAGTTTAAGGATTATCTCCTTGTCTAAAAGATAAAAACAAAACTTAAGTGAATGAAATACGTATAACAATACTGTTGAAACCAATATAAAAATCTTACTAGGCTTACATTACTTATAAAGTTTACAAACAGTCACATGATCTAGTTGCTATATATCCACGATAGTGGTTACTGATATAAATAAGCTCAGACAAACGTACTTTTGAAAATATTGTGCTTATCTGATTCCTTAAGTAATAGAAGCGTAACTGTAACCATATTTTCAGGAAATAGCAAACTATGATCTAATTCTGTTTACTTACAAACATGAAACTACAACGAATGGGAGCTAAGGTGAACTATAGAAAGTCAAATTTGATGGCACTACAGTTAAAGAATTCATGTAGGTTCATAAATTTTAAACGTCAAATAAGGTTGAGGATATGGAGCGACAATTTAGAGAAAAAGGTTGGTTCTTAACTGATTAATTACTAGATGACCATATGGATATTAGGCCTCAATGATAAAAGATATTGTACTATGGAGCGTTGGATAGAAAAATGAGTAGATTATGTGAGGAAGAAGTAGAGAACCTATAGCTGCAGTCATTAATAACTGGCCTTTTTTATTAATCTAGATTTATAGTACGATATATACCCGTGTTCTGCAAGAAAATTATCACAAAATGCATAGAAAAACACTAAGTTATGAATAAATATAGATACAGCCGTGACCTAACGTCTCATTGTTGATATGTTATTATGCGAGATATCTGTTAAGTAGCACAAAGTAAACAAATTATGTAAGTTAAACGAGGTAACCGATAGTTATACATCCTGACTACGAACAAACCGTTTTCTCATTATTTTGTTTGCATGGAAACCAAATATTTTTAGCCATTACTTGATATTTCGTGTGTCAAATTAGTGCATACATATGATTCACTGTGATCAGACAGAGTTGTTGCTGTTTGGAATTTCTAAGGGTAAAAATCAGTTCTCTACTCAATAACATTTAAGTAGATAAACCTTTCATAGACGCATTTACTCTTACCACTTTACTAGAAAACATAGTTTATAATTTATGTAGAGTTCCTTCGTGAATACAAATACTGAATAGCTGGTATAATATAAAATTCAGTAGTCTTTCCGTCATCCCACAATAAGAAATAGAGTGGAATGTAGTGGTCATACAGAAAAGAAATCAAAATGTAACATTGCATGAAAATCCCCTTTTATTTTTCTAACTTGTGTTATTTCCTCTATTTTCTCGTAGTGGAGTTATAAGTATAAATTTTCAATGTAGGATATACTAAAAATTATTCAAATGATTCACAATAATTTTTTTCTATCATAATCGATAGAAATCAAAGAAAAAGGATAAATTGTATGATCAGCATGTAAAAATTGCTAGCTAGTGGTTAATTATTCATTCACCTTTTGAGATTTCCATTTCATGATTCGTTTTCGTAGATTGAGGCAGGATGGCAGACTCTATAGGATTTGCGCGAACTGGTGAAACGACAGTTTCATTAATAGTTTTGCTTTCATTCACTTCCTGGAATGGTGGTGCACATTGAATGGGCTGCATTGAATTGGTAGCTAGAACAGCTTGCTCCGCTTGTGTCACAAGATCATGACGTAGTTCTCCTAGTGCCTTGGACAAAGCCTTTGAAAATAAATATGTGGATCAAACTTTTAATAAACAAATCACGCTACTTGTTAGTAGTTAAAAAAAGAGAAAAACAATAAGTACTCGAAATCGCTGATAGTCACATAATTTAAAAAAAAATAAATGTCATTGTGTAATATTTCATCATAATACAAGGGCTTGCTGGGATGAGATATACAGACTAACACATCTTTTTATTTTTGGTTTACAGGAATTACTACTAAAACGGCTAGGTTATTTGATACACATCTGTGGTCACATTAAAGACAATATTATTTATTCAGAAATATAATTTGTTGCTGTACGGGTTTGTGGAGATTGTTAAATCCTTGCAGTTTACATCACGGACTGACTTTAGCCCGATAATCATTCAGAGGCGGAATGTAGTTCACAGTTTATTTTGTCCTAGTACCAGACATTTTAGAAGTGTTCAAGCACTTCGTTCGGGGATCAAAACCAGGACCTTCTGGTCTCATGAAGACCGCTTGACTACTAGACAACTGATCCAGCCTGATCCTGACTAACTCCAAGAGATTCGCAACATTGCGCGAATTCTGAGGAGTCTTACTTTAGGGAGAAATGGCTGCAAAACTAAGATCAGTTAGTGGTGTGAACCGTGAAAATGTAATTCACTTAAAAGAACATGAACAATACTATTTTAACACAATAATGTTTCAACACAATTAAGGTTATCATAATACTTCAGATTTATCTGGATGAAGTTTTCTCTTTAGATAATTTGAACGAAACAATCAGAATCTATCCAGTTTGATATAATTTCATTATCATATATTAGTCATCACTCCTTGTTGGTTGGTTTAAATAATAGTGATATTTTAAAGAAATAGTTTCGGGAAATTTGTATATTTGTTTGTTGATGAGATTTAGCTACGGGAAGTTCACTACGTAAATGTACCTTGTAACTCAATTAAAAACATTAAAAATTTATTAATTAATAGGTGATGACGAAAATATACACCAAAACCTGCTTATCCTTCGTATTAGATATAAATTCAACCATAAGTAATCAGAAGTTCTTTGGAAGGTGATTATGAAATACAGTGTGTAGATCCAGAGTTTAATAAATTGGGATCAGCGAATCATGATTCATCACGTTAGCAAATCTAAAAGATCCTAGTATCATTAAGAATGAAGTTGTAAGAGTAGGTAAATGATTAAGTATGTAGCAAGAATTAAACTGCCATTAAGTGATTTTAGGTCTTCAGTGGTTCGTTCCTTGAAATTATTTGTCACGGAAGTCAAGAAATAATCTTTTCTCTCCAGGCAAGGAAAAATATTATGAACCTATTAATTCTTCTTACTCGGATTTGTTTATCTTTTTCTAGTAGATCTGTACGTAAACGTTCAGCTAGTTGGCGTTGCATCACTGATGGTGATTTATTTGCTTCAGCTTTCCAGCGTTTAACTTCATTATTGTATTCATTTAATTTTACATTACTTTTATCTAGTTCTTTTTGTAACTGTTCGATTTGTGATGTTAGTTTCATTGTTTCTTCTCTAAAACGAAGGGCAAAAAGTACTGAGTTTTTTTGAAAAAAAATGGTAGTCATCAAACAAAATGAAGACAATTTAGTGTAGAAAATGTTCTTTCGCGGTGACAAAAAATCACTTTTTACAATGGAAATTGATAAATTGTTGAGAAAATCTGTTACTGAAATTACTACAAACAGTTAAACAGAACTATATGTTATCAGCTTATTTAAACGTATTAGTTTTATAGCGTCAGGGGTTGAGGAGTGTTTTAAACAAACTACAAATCGAATATTAACATCCACCAGTACTTTTCTTGAATCAGACATACCGTTTGATTGAAAAAGAACTATCCTCATTTCAGACGTTTCTTTTCACGTCATTCCTATAGAACACGGTGATTTATTAACTGCTTTATTTTGTAATATTCCTTCCGGTCAATTTTTATTATACTGATTAATTATTGACAAGGTAATTTCAAAAAGTCTTCAGTGTTCAATATTACATGATCCAGCATCGATTAAACTATTATTCAATCGACAGTACACTTTATAAAACTTGTATGATATTACAATATATATGTGAAAAGTTGTTACCTATGCAAATTCTCCATATTCGCCTTCATAGTTTCAGTTTTTGTTTGAAGTTGATTATATTTCAATTGCCATAAATCACATTCTTGTCGTATGACTTTTGTTTGTTCAGCCTGACGAAACACAGCTTGATTTTGTTCATTTAACGATTCTTCTAATTCATATAAACGTTTCTTTAATTCCACTAAGTGTACATTCGATATTTCAGTCATGCCAACAGACTCAACATTTTGAGCTAATTGTAATAACCGTTCCTCCATTTTGTTTTGTAGCTGTATGGATAATTTATTTATTTAAATAAAGAAATCACAACTAAATTGATTTTGCTTTGAAAGAAGCGAAAGAATCATCTATAGTTAAACAAAATAAATGTGAACTTAATTACCTTCAGGCATCTGTCAATGTTAACAGTGTTTGGCAGATCCAGATTCGTAAAAAACAAAGCATATGTTTGTTTTATTTTAAATAATTCTCTTAGCTTATGTTCGTTCCCGAGAAAAATTTATTGTCAAATTCTAATTACTTACCAGTAACTACATTCGTACTGGTAAGTTTAGGATCAATATGGAATTACTTATCGTATACTTTAATAAAACAATGAGTTAAACTATAAATATTTTCTTTTTTACCTGTAATATAACCATATATAATAACAATCAATTGGAAACTAAAACAAAACAGTTCTTTAGTGTATCCTGGTTTTCGACGGTTATCTAACTGAAATTTAACCGATGATCTACATTACGACAATGAGTTATATATATATATATATATATATATATATATATATATATATATATATATATATATATATATATATTGTGTTATCAGTAAACTACATGCTCAGCAAGTCATATAGATTGTTTGATACAGCATGAAGGATATTATGAACAGATCACTTGTTCAAGATCAGTTGCTACTGAAATTGATTTCTATTGTTAAGCATTATTTTCATATTATCCTTAATAAACCAACGTCAAAAATTATAAGCAAAAGGGTAAGGCTTAGATCGATACAAATGATCTTTAAATAGAAAACTATTATGTAACAAACATCAGTTATACCTACTGTGAGTAGAACAAAAAGTAATTATTAAAATTTTATTTCTTATTAAACTTACTTTATTTTGTAAAATAGCAATTTCTTGATTATGTCTATCATTCGATTTTTCGTTAGCTTCATACGCTTGTTTAAGTAGCTCATTAACTCTTGCAATACTTTCATCCTTTCCATTTAATCTACGTTGCAACAATTCCATATTAGCTCGTAAACCAGCTAATGTAGATTGAATATCTGGATTTTGTGTAGTAGAACAATGATTGATAGCATTTTGTAATTTGATATCTTGCAGATGCAAAAGTTGTAACAGTTGAGTGAGCCGCTAAAATTTCATTCAAAGTTAAGGTAATAACAAGATAGAATCTAACAATGAGAATGTATTTATCAGACTGATTTTTTTAAGTATCATAACATCAACTAATTAAAAATGTTAATATGCGCTAGTTAAGTAGATTATGTGCTGAAAATTCTAGTTCGCATTAACATTAATGTCAGTGTTAGGTATTGATGTTTGATACCTTGATGCTTAAAACATCCAATCAGTGTGAACGAAAACATCTCTCAAAATAGTTGGAGATTTAAAATTTTTGAAAAAACAGTCGATTTAATGTGCCATCATTATTTTCTTCTATGTATGGAGTGAAAATATGACCGAATCAGATTTTGTGGTTATACTTACTTCATTCAGAAGAATTGTTAATTATTTTTGGTATTTTCAATTATTCAGTTAAACAATGCGAGCATGAAACACATCTAAGATTCGAGTCACTCAAGTATTACAAACTTTCCTTCAACAGACCACTCCCAGAATTCATTTTGAATGACGGATAGTATCATTGATTCAAAAATATCAGGTGGATAATCTTCCTATCCCACCAGGTTAAAGAGATATCAAAGGATTAATAAAAGCAATTCTTAATTATAGTCATAAATATGTGAATATTCTGTCTGAATAATAAATGATCTCAAAAACTAGAAATATTCAAATTTGACTATTTCGCTTTCAAATGACCACGATTGTCTGACTGTTGTAAGTACTTAGACATCAGTTATATCTACCTTTTAATAACCAAAAAACTAAACAAAACCTGTCTGTATTATTTCAGATTGCTTTGAATTCTCAAATGTTCATTTTAACTGCTATTAATATTTAAATGGGAAAACTATGCTAAGGTATAAACAGTTGTTTGAAATTTACCGGGCAGAACCAAAGTTATGGAATATTAGACGTCTTATTAAATAATAACCTACTATAAAACAAAACTTGATAAATATTCTTCAGAAATATGAGGTGGTATGACAATAGAAAAATCATAAATCTCTGTACATAAATAAAATACTTTTCTAAGTGCGGTATTTTCATTTTTCAGTTTATTCATTGTTTGATGATTATAGTTTTGAACTGATTCTTCCACACACTTAGACGATGGTTGTTCACTATTTAGTGGTATAGATTTGGAAATTTCATTGAAGTTATCTTTGTGATCGACTTGGTTACAAACGGTCTCAATATCTTCATCTGCAAGTAAATTAGGTATGGATTTAAGTTCATTCATATTTTCTGTGTCAATATACTGAAAAAAAAAATTATAACAAGAAAAGGCAACAATATAACTTGTGAAATAATGATACTAAACTAATAAAATTTACTGATTACACAAAATTTCAACAAGCGACAATAATTTAGATTAGTGTGGTGTAAGTTCCGTTATTTATCAGGCTATATACAGAGAAAATACGAATGTGAACAACAGTTTTTTTTACATTTATTATATTTTGATTATCTTCCAATAAAGATAAAACCTGCTCCTGTTGAAAATGGTAAACACATTTGTCACCATTCTTCAAATGTAGGTATGAGCGATAATCGCATTATGATTATTAATCTCAAATGAATATCAAAATTCATTTGGCATTAATAAGTGCTTCATCACTTGACCTTTGCCATAGAAATAAGAGATTGAAACAAAATAACGTAAATCAAACTGTGGGTGGCCCTAAAAAGGGCCTTTACTCGGTCTCTTAACAGTGCAGATTTTCCTGAAGGAAGGCGCAACTATGAGTTGGTTATAGCGCCGCACATGGGACAGTGCACTCCACATACATGTGGTGATGGGTCGTAAGCACAAAACCAATGAAACATAGCCTCGCATGGACAAAAAACCTAGGCAGCTGCATCAGCAGTTTCATGTGGAGGCTGTGCAAGATGACATATATCACACAGTCTGTTGTAATATGCATGTTCTTCAGTGTCGATGTCTCGTTCCGTGAACTCTTCGGAGTTAATAGAAACTATTTCCTCCTCGTCATTAATGAACGTTTCATCCAAATCGATGTCGCTTTGATAGTTGGTAACTGAATTCTGTTGGATTAAGGGCACTGGTACATGAGTGGAAGTGATGGCCTCGGTGTACAACTCCGTAGCTGCAGATAAGTTCAACGACGTTGGAGGCATTCTACCGTGAACAACTTGATAAACACTGTTATACACCAAACTGCATTGTTCTTTGGACATTTGCCTGACTAAGACATACAACGATTTCTTGATACTTGTCTGCTGTAATTGGATTGGGAAATAATTTTCAATCGCAATATTGGTTACGTCACTGTCCTACTGCAACCACCTGTCACAAATTTACTGTGTGTTCACTTTAGTATTACTGTGTGTGCAGTAGGCCAAAATGTGACGACATGGCATTCCGTTTTCAATATAAAAACCACAAGGATAGTTGATTGTATTACGGGAGACCGTGTAAATGCCTGTAGCGTGAACAGCCGTGAACAAATCCACCGACAATACGACCTCAGTTACAGGAATGCCCAAGTGCCGCTTCACTGGTTGACATGCAGCTGGAGTCAGTCGTTCCTGAAGACGACGTATCTGTGGCTCCCGACCGATATTTGGTTTATTGTGACAGTCAGGTGTATACTTTTGAAATCGTGCTTCTATCCAATATCCAGTGCGAAGTAGCACACTGAATATAGATCTCAACACAGGTGTTCTTCTATTCACTTTATGCATCTTCAGAATTCGATGAGTTGTCTCAACGAAGTTTGTATTAATGTGTTGAAGGAGCATCGCTGATGGTCGAAAAGCATTTGACCATTTTTGTTTTTTGGGCAGCAAGTGATCTCTCACATATCGATAAAACGTTTCGTCGGATGTTTCGATTAACGACAGATAATGGTCAAAACTACAAAATAAGGTTAGATATATTTTGATTCACCTTTCCACATTTCGAGTGAACATCAGACGAAAGAATAGTTGTATAACTTCAGATCGTAGCCTCTACAATGACGGTAAATGGGTTAATGTCAAGGAACGAAAAACGTACCCTCTTTATGACATTACGAATTAGGTGTACACGACACAAAATGTGGCGGGAATTTGGGTATACCTGCGTGATAGCAGCGTCTATTGCAGATGAACCATCTGTCACAATGCCTATCACCTCTCGATTGTTAGTTGAGCGGCGGAAGAACGGCAGCAGTTGAGAAAGAAAAGTCGATGTTTCGCGACTTATAAATGCAATACAAACAGGTATTGCCTTAAAATTCATATCTAGTGCCACTACCTGATATAAGTTCTCGTTATTGGTTTTGTACGTCCCGTCAAAACCAACAACATCAAAATAACGAGTTGCCAAATCCATTTGATCAGCAGTTGTGAAGAAAAAATACAACAGACAATTTTCTTCATCTAATTCGTAATCGCAAAGCCCACCCAACGACGTGATGTGAGCCTTTAATTTGGCATAATCACCTATCGTTTACAATATAAATAGGCACATTGCTTATCAGGAAGATTGGCCTGTGAGAACACTTTGTAGCGCATATTAAAAATATCTTGAGCATTCAGACGCTTTCCATAAGTTTGGTAAGCAAAGTGTTTGATATCGAATGCTGCTGTTCCAGATATCAGGAGCGGATGCACTGTTTCAAACTCAGCCTCCATTAACACGCGCACCCAAGAATTACTGTCGTACCTCACGGAATTGCACTTGTGATTGTGATGCATATTCCCACGAACAACAGTCTAGTAACCTTCAATAAACTTACAAAAGATGAAGGTCGAACAGTGAGTGTTCATGGAAGTCCTTCGTGAAAAAAATATAACAACACTGATCAAATTACCTCCTTCGTCTAATCGGCTGTAAGGAACCGCTAGGTGTTATACGGCCATTTCTCCAACATACAAATTTAATGTACGATTCTCGATCGCTGTGGAAATGAGAATCATCACGTAATGGCAGTACGTAGACCTTTCGTAAGTTCTGATGGCGCACTTTAACGCTTCAAATGATTGGAACTATACGAGGTACAGTGTATTCAAGAATACGTTCTCCGTTTCTGTGACAACGTGAGAAACGACAGATCTTGTACATGGTACGTTACTCTCATCCATAATTTTGATTAAAATGTACTCTGTCGACAAGTACGGACATTTTATAACAATTTTAAAACATAACTAACCAATTATAATGAATTTAAAACTAGCCATTTAATTGGACGAAACGGGATGGAAAAACTTTTTTAAAGGGGTGAAAAAAATTATTTAAAAAAATTACAAAAATGGCCGGTCGTTTAATGATATTAATAACATTAAGTTTAAAAAAAGGCAGAAAAGAATTAAATTTCAAAAGTGTCTATCCCGTTATTTTAGTTGAAAACTACTTATTTGATTGGTTTGGTGTAATTTATGGTTTATTTCCAATAAAGACGAACATAATAGTCGAACCAATGAAACAGCCAATGGTTAGCCAGTAGAATTTAATAAAAGCATTTGGTTTACTCAATGACGGTTCAACCAAATTCACAGACATCTTTTTAAAAACGAATATTTACCTAATTCAGTAATATAATCATTTTAAAAAGATTCACAAATTACTGCAGTTATTTGTTTTTCGGCCAGTTGTCATTTTCATTACCTTGAACAGGTTATTAGGTAGATTCCTATGGATATAAAAATCAACCTTCAACCTAATTTTTTTCATAAAATCAAATAGATCTAATTCGCTAACAAAATGTATATTTTTATTATTTAGTGGATCATTTGTAAGATGTAACCACATGATTAATATTAAAATATTTAGCAAAGTTAAAAATGCAAGTACCACAGAACATAAGAACATTGTTTGACCACATACATTAGATATAGTGTTTTTTTCTATGGCACATTCTAATTCAGCTTCACGTTGTTCCCACTGGATTTCACGTTGATCTAATTCTTTAACTAAACGTGAATTTTCTAATTCTAGTTCATTTAGCTGTTTTTCTTGATTTTGTACAATTGATTCTAAATGACGTACTTTTTCCTTTAACTGTCCAACCTATTTAAAAATTAAAATGAAATGAAAATAAAATAAATCAGGTTTAAAATGTTAGCAATATTTAAACTGAAAGTGGACATAAATATTCATTTTCTAATTTGTTATTAGGTAGGTTTCGTCATTGCAATAGGTTTGTAATATGATTACTTTAAACACGTTGAAATGTATACGTAGCTGTGAAATGGTTAAATTGTAATCTTCTATGTTGTAGCTAGATTTTAATCAGTTAACATTTATTTCTCTATGGCAACATTATTTTTTTATGAAATGTACATCTAAAAATATTTACAAACAGATTTTCTGAAGAAAAATTATTTCTTTGATCCGCTCAGTTTTAAAATAGGGCAGATTCTACAAAACAAACATCGGATACTGCTTATTCGATACTTTGTGTTCTAATATTGATTTACATTTAACGAGTATGTTGTGGAGTGAAACTGCTTGAGGAAAGAATTTGATACCTGCAATAAATCTACTTTGCTGCTGATCATTTTAGGCTAGTTAAGACGAAATAGCTGCTCAGCGCTTCCTGATTTCCAATGACTGCTTAACTAGTCAATCCGTGACGTGAAACGTTATAGTTGATCATTTGTTGATACGCTTAGTGATTCTATTTATTAGAAGATCGGTTAGAAATGTTTTTAAGATGACACATATAAAGCGAAGGATCAAAATACTTTGTGATTACATTTTATTTTCTCATAAGGCAAAATATTTAGTAATAAGACAATGTAGAAGCAAGTACAATATTGATTATTTATTTACCTATCTCTAAAATGATGTATTTAGACCTGAACAAGCTATATTTCTTAATGACTTAAGCAATATTTTAGTGTAACTCAGAAAGCAAAAGATACAGTACATAAATACTTTCTTCAATTTCCTGAGAAATACATGCGTAATTTGTTCAACACAAAACTGGACACAATGGAAATTGAAGTATTATCTCCTGGGATTAAATCCCACGTTTTGAATAATAGATATGCAAACACAATATAAAAACCTAATTTTCCCCATTTTCACATTCAGAAATTTTGACTAAGGAACATAAGTCAGCACTGAAGAATATACAAAAGAATGATAAGATTTTTGTATCAAGACTAGAAAAGGTTCAGATGTCTTCAAAATGAATCGAAATGACTATATTTGGAAGATATTCCAAGTTCTAAAAGATGAGTCGAGATTTCAAAATGACTCATCAGAAATTCCATACAATTGGTTTCTTTTATGAATTTGAATAAAACCAGAACAAACATTGATGCAGAATAATATGAATTCATTATATTTCGTGGTTTCTCATAAGCTGCTTACAACCATATATGTATCGTTAAAGGTTTACACTGAAGTAAGATATAGTATGAATCAGTTGACATAGATGAACGAAAATAATTAGAATGACAAAGACTATAAATAATAACGATATGTATATATATGGAGTTGGAATTAAAAACATAAGAGTTAATGAACTCATATTATTCTGCACTAATGTTTGTTCTGGGCTCATTCATTTCAAGATGATATATTTGAGCGAAATTCCTCCCTAGTGACTGAAGTCAGAATTAAACATCTTGAACAACTAACCAAGAAGGTGCTTGATTTTTCAACTAATAATTAATTAGAGGCAACAGGGACACGCCTGTTTTCCGTGTGTGATTTTCCTAAAGTCTTCAAATCAAATATCGTCAACCTGTAATGCTGATGACAATTTCACCGTATCATAACGATTGGACAGTCAAGAAAACCGTATTCAGAAAAGAAACATTAATAAGGGCAACAATTCGATTGCAATAGTTTTTGTCTTGTTAGCCATAAAGTTTGTCTACTTAAAACAATTTTTATTAGCATGTATTAAAAAGTGTCCTTTAAAAAACAAATATCCGAAGAAATCTCTTACGATGTACAGAAAAATGTTTATGAAAGTCCTAAACAAACAACCGTTGTCAGAAAACATGTCTTCATTCAAAGGCGCGGGGATTTCGGCCAGTATTGATAAAATGTTTAAAGTAGCGCTAAAGAGAATTTTCCCTGAAGCCCAACTGTTTACTATTTCTGACACCCGATGTTTCTTAAACAAATCAAAAATTCCGCTGACATGAATTCAGGAGGTTAACTCGAATTTTTTGTCAACTAGTTACTTTTCTCATTTCTTTCTATTCATCATCTGTTGGTTATCATCCATAACTTCATTCCCTTCTTCTTATGATTTCATCTTCAATGCATAAATACTAATTAACTCTAGCCATCTAGTCTCCTCTTCTCGTTCTTTATGTTATTTTGAAACAAACTTCGCTGATTTTTTTTGATAATATTACTGACGCAAATTCAGATCGTTTGTGGCTGATGAGAAGCCTTGAAATATTATGAATGAATGTTATACTGCGAATCATACTCTTTTTTTATTTAGATAATGAAACTACAACGCGACTTAGTTCTGACTAAACATAAGGATAACTATTTAATTTTAAGATATAAAAGACATGACTTAATTTAAACCAGTGACCAGAACGTTGCTGAAAACCTACAAGCTCTGCACGAGCCGTCAGATACCTTACAATGTATTATAATTCAGGTGAAGGATTTCTGAAAATATTTAAATTTATAGATTGAGTTTGTCAGGAATCCATATCGAATGAAGCACCTCAGAATTTAGGGACAATGGATAACTGACTATTCCGAGTTCGAGACTCCTCTGAAGAAGCCTATATCAAGTGAGTTTTAGTGGTTTTCTGAAAATCCATCCCGAAATTATTTATGAATGAGTGCACTATAGCTTGTAACGATTTTTTCAAACTAAGGTGTGTTTTTATCACTAACTTCCCTTTTTGACCTGAAAAGATATGTTTTTGTGCAAACATACTGTGTAATCAATCAATTTTTCAGTTAATCGGTAGAGAGGCTAGTGAATGAAATTATTTAAACAGATTATAATACCAAAAAAATATTACAAACCTGACGACGTTGTGTTGATTCTGAGACTCGTAATTCACTTAATCGTTCTTGCCAGTCTACTAATTTTTTTTCCAAATTTTTATTAATGTCATGATTTTTATGTTCTTCATTATACTGTTTTAAGACGTCCTGAATATCAGATGTCAACATTTTTCTTTCTTCGTAACCTTCAATGATAGATTCTGTTTTGATTTTATCATTCAAAGCTTCATCAAGAGCCAACTGGACAGATATACATTTACGAAGTGTTTCGGTTAAACGAAGGGTTAATCTTTCTTGCTGGATGAGTGGAATGGAACCTGCATATCTTTGACGAAGTGACTACAAAAATGAAGGTAAACCAAATTCCAAAAAGTGGTTGAGATCACTCTAACAAATGATGTAGTATGATATACTAAAAATCATCAAATAAATTGAACGTTATTTGAAAGTAATGGTAAATTACCATTTCGGGATGACCATGGATCATCTTGATGGTCTGACATTCAATTTCAATCACACTTGTTTCATTCATGTTCACAGAGATTTGTACCCAGGCAACATTTTGATCAATAAGTACTGAAAACCAGAAGACCAGGGTTATTTGTATCACAGAGTTAGTGCTATCCATAAAGTCGTCACTTATGAGATATTTGAAAGGTGCATGTTTCATTTTGATGAATCATTCACATCAAAATACCTTAATTTAAAGTAGGTACTGAAGATTTAAACAGACAACCGAATTCATTGAGAATTGACATAAAAATTTAAATGGTTTCGTTCCATTCACTAGTAAAATGTGCATCAAACGTAAACTCTTGAGCAATTAATGACAAAGTCTCAGTTAAAATTGTTGAAGGTTTGACGAACGTAGCAACGAGGAAAACGTATTTCAAAAACTTTGTATAATTAATATGTCTCTAAGTAGTATCAAGAAAATGTTGATGTAAAAAATCTCCGTACTCCAATACTTGTTATTTAACTCATTAAAGTATTGACTCATATCTTTGAAAAATAAAAAGCACTTGATGAGCACTGTCACCATTATTTCATATTTCAAACAGTGTTTTTGACGAACAGATTAAAAATCATTGAGGAGTAGCCAAATCAAGATATTACATTAAGCCATGAAGCTTTAGTTATTAGCAGATTTCCTGCTTAAAGTTCTCTAAGTTAAGTGACTCGAAATCGGTTGTTCTTTTTGTTATATCCCGACGAGAATTACGAATGATAATTTTTGAGAACTATTTATGGACCGATACGGTACATGTATTTTCAATGTATAATAATTAAGTAACAAAACTATGCATATTTATGTTCCTCTTATAAAAAGCTTTATTTTGACCCATAGACTATTATACGATGTGCCGTTCTTGAGTTATGCCCAGTTCATCAATTACTTTCTCCCACATTCACAGCCACGTTTGCCTAAATCGTGCACAGATGTTGTATTCTACTTTGTGGTGCGATGTGGTCTGTTTGGTTTTTGTAGAAACTCAATATGTTTGAAATACATGATTCATATCACGGAGGCTGAGATTGATGTTCTGGACTCAACAGCGAGGGCTAGACAGGAAGAAGGACCGATAAGGACTCTAGACTACCCGTACGGGTTTACGCATCATTGGTGCGGTCGATAAATCACTGTTCTCTAATTGACGGTATCATGACGTCGTATATTAATAGGGCACAAAGCCACAAGATATAATACTTCTGGACCTATATTACTTATTCGGATTTCATGAATCTCATTCAACTTTAAAGATGTGAAGAATCAGAACTCTTAACCGGCCCATAATTATCCGAGTTGGTATTTTATATGAAACCGATTGACATGATATTATTGAACAAAAGTAATTTTTAATGTCAGAAAGAAATAATGAATTACCGTAATCGTTTCACGTAATCGTTTTTCACGTTGATGTGATTTGTCGTACACGTTTGTCAATTCCTTTTCTTTTTGAATTAGTCTTTTCTCAGCTTTGAGCAAATCATTTTCCAAACGATTTACTTTCACTTGAGTTGATGCTAAACGACGTAGGGCAGTCGACTCAGAGATCTAAAAATATTATATAAATAACTAAACTAGAAATTCGATATATTTGCAAAACGTTGAAACAAAACATCACATTTACAATGAGAAATGTTCAAAGATTGTACCTCTTAACTTAATATCAATCAATGTATAACCGATAACTAATAGTAGTCGGCTTACAGTTTGAGAAACAGTTTTACATAATGACCGGTTACTTCTTGAACATTCAGATGAATTTCTATGATGATCTCAGGGATAGTAACTGATCAGGCTTTCTAAAATATGTGCATACTAAAACGATCGTCTTGATATTTTTATATATTCCCAAGTTTTTAGTGAGTTTATAGAAACATGATCTAAAACTTAAAATCATTAATTGGTAAGTGGTCAGTTCAACACGTAAAACTGCGCAAGAGATTACCATTATTGTTGAACAATCGGGTAGGTCAGTGTAAAACTCCTTCAAAAAAAACGAACTGTTAAACGATAGACTACAAAGAGTCTCATCTTAATGCATTGCGAAAACTGAGAGGTAAGGTATGACTAAGATATATATACACTTCTGATGAATGAAAAGTTCTTTTGAATTCATATTTCAAACGACACAATAGTGAATGGCCTCGCATATCACAAGTTGCGTACAGTGTATTTGAGAGTTCAATTTTCCTTTATTCGTAGTTTCCTGAGAATGAGAAGTAATCTAACTTTCGAACAGTCATATAATTCAATATCCGGGCGGATGAAATATGATTAATCGGTTTTATAAAGGAAAAATGATAATTATGTGAAGACTGAAGTGAACTTACCTGGATACGTGTCACAAGACGATGGAGTTGAGCCAGATTAGCTTTTGAATCATCTTTAGATTCCAGTTCAGTCATTTGTTCACGTAAATTTTGTATTTCAGTCGACTGACTGTTTAGTTGATCTTCCAAATTTTGATGCTGATTCATTGAAATTAAAGCTACTTCCTTAAGTTGTTCAACTTCATGACGAAGTTTCAAATTAGTCTGTTCTAATTCTGTGTTTTTTGTTTCAATTTCTTGATGCTCTGACATTGGAACCGCTTCTAAAGTTGCAAAGGTAAGTGTTTTTATCTTGAAATTACTATATTTTGTACATATATATCGAGTATCAAAATAGTAATCTAAATTATATGGAAAGATAATTTCATCCTCTATTAATTATTGCGCACACATAAAACTAAGGCACTGTTACAAATCCAAGCCAAATACAACATTTGATAGGACGATATTATGACATATTCAAAAGTAGATATTCTTCCTCTTTATACATTTCCATTTTGTTACTTTATTTAATACTCTACTATGATTTGTTGAACCATTTTTCTAGTTTAAGACAGACATAACCTTTAAGTTGAATTCACAAGTCGATTTAACTTGAAAATACTACAATCTCCACAAATCCCCATACAGATATAACTTCATCCAATATTCCATATTTGTATATTATTAGCTTTCAGAATTAATATCAACTTTGACTTCCTTTTTCTAATAATTTACAACCTAGCAAGGAAACAGTTCGATTCCATATAAAAGAATTTGCTTTTGAAATTCTCATAACTTACTGCTTAAGGCTGTGCTCATAAAAACTAACACAAGTTGAAGAATCACTGAAATTTATAGGGAACAATCGAGTTGCTTTAACGTTATTGAGGAGTACGTACGAGTTCGTATTTGCAACCTTACAAGGACTCCCAGTCCATGAACTATTTAAAACTACGTTTTTACTATCCAGTGATCAACACATTCACCTAGAGTCAATTCTAGATACTGTCAGTTCTTTATTCAATGCAGTTAGATGGTACGTCATTCAGTTCCAAATTAATTGGATCTAGTTGGTCGCAGTTTTACACTATACGATTCAAGAGCTAACCACTAATAAACACACGAACAATTATTGTCAATGTAATTTTATGATATTTATTGGGGCTATCAAAGATACTAACAACAGCTAGAAAATAAACCCAATGAAAATACTTTTGCTGAACCAGTATCTCAGATACACAGTTGGACAATGAAAGATCAAACAAAAATGCATGTCTGTATAATATCATCATATATGAAAGTAGTTTTAAATAAATTTCTCCCGTAATGTGTGTCACTCACATAGTAAATGAATTGTACTTGCTTAAAAACACAGGTTTAGATAACTAATCTATATATTATTATTACTTTATGGGGTCAATTAAGGGAAATGTATATTTTAAGTTGCATATTGTTACCACTAAACTTATTTGTATGTGAAACAAATCAAGTGATAGACGAAATACGATACCACATAGTCTAATGTGTGCTTGTTATCTACAACACTAACTTTTAGTAATAACATTAGACGTTTTACAGAAAACTTATATTTAATAAACACTGAATAAGTACCCGAAAAAACCATATACTTTACTTGTAAGTTCTTGTCGTAATTTTTTTTCAGTTTGTTGCAATTCAATTAATGACTTAGTAATTTCGGTAAATTTGTTTTCAAGTTCTCTATTTCTTAACTCTAATTGATGATTAGCATCTTGTACTGTATTTAAAATAATTTGTATATGATTTGCACGTTCACGTTCATTTAGCTCCTTCATTTCTATTAAAGCTAAACGTTTAGCAATATTTGTATCGGTTACATTATTCTCAACTTGATCAGATTTCACTGTCTATATTTTAAAGCATTGATAAAAAAGAACCCAGACAATATTACAATTTAAGTGATTAAAATCAACAATGAAGATAATTTAAAATTAGAATAACTTATGAAATATATTTGGTAGCCGCGTTGTTAAACGCGCGCTAACTGTAATGCTGATCATACAAACTAGAATAATGTTTATTCAAACTTCATCTCAGATAGTTTCAAAAAGAAAGCATTAAATTGGTCAGGATTAAAAAAACACGAAATTCAATATTAAAATTGAACAACTTTTTTTAATTCCTGAGTGTTACCTATTTTCTAGATGTGTTCAAAATGTAAAGGTTCATTCCTAATTCTAGAGTTTAGCTACTATTGTTTGTCGCTGCCTTATTTACATACACAGCTTTACATAAGTGTACAGTATATCGCTATGCTACATAAAAAGGAAATGCATAGGAACACAACGTATAGTTAATAAGTTGTTTTACTTATATCATCTGTTAGAAAAATGTGCGAAGGTAATGAACAAACACATGTTTAGAGTAAACCAATTTATTACATTAGTGAAATATATAAAAAATGCATTGAATAAACCGTTTGCACATTTTCCTTGAACTGTCTCTTATAAACTCCTGTTGCTACTCTGATTACTTCTGCTTTTCTTTCTATTCTCCTTAATTTTTTTCTTGCTTCAGTAAGTGTCCTACTCTCAGTGTCTGCTACATACTACTCATATCTGTCTGTATAAGTATTACACACCACACAAATACACCAGAATTCATTCACGTCAAAATAAATACAATTGTTGCATATAAATCTATACAAAGACTTGTCACATTGAATTGTTAATTATTACAATAAACGAGCAACTTATCGTAAACAAAACATTTCAGTCAACGGTGTTTTGTAAATGATCTGATTAGTAAGGATGTAATTTTTTTCTTTTAGGAGAAACATGATATTTAATAAAAAATAAACAACTTCCAAATAAAATTAGTGATGACCATCATGTATTCGAAATTGTCTAAAAGCATCCTCATTTGTGCATCGCACGTTTATTTAGATGTATAATATCCACTAGATGATAGTGCTATATATATATAGCACTATCATCTAGTGGATATTATACCTACTCTTACACCAATTAACATTCAATATTAACAAACTAAACGTGTCAGTTCAAGTATGTCAATTTTTTATCGTGTTAGTTGATTGGTGAACTAAATTGAACAATTGAATCTCTTTATGAACATTAATTTTATTTTGTCTATTTGTCTTAATGAGACACTAACAAACACACTAAATAATATTTCATACTTTCAAGATAAAAAGTATTTACTTCAATTACCTAGACCGACAACGTTCTGTGAATTGTGTCAGGTGAGTTCGGACTCATATGGGAATTAACAGCTGGACATTAAGACTAAAAATAGTAGATTTTCTATAACAAATCAACAACAGACTACGTAGAACACTAATTTGAATGTGTTTTTGAATTTGCACGACAACGGAGCTGTTAACAAGTTTCACAGATGTCATAAACGCAGTTAGTTTGTCAGCTTTAAGAAATCTATACCATCTCAAGACATAACCTACCACATTTGACTGCAACTGATTAATGGAATTTTCCAGCAAATATCTCCTTTCTTTTTCTATTGTCAGTTGTTCCTTTAATTCATCATGTTGTTTTTTCAAGGTATCCAAATTTGTTTGAGTAGATTTTAAGGCTAATTGATAATTCACACTATTGGAACCACTTTCTAATAGTTCTTTATATTTGATAGCTAATGTTTCATATTCATTTCTTAAATTATTCAGTTCATCTTCTGGAACACATCGATCTAATGTTTTTTGTAATTTTTGTATTTGGAATGCTGCAGTTTCTTTACATCTCGCATAATAATTTAAACGAGCACTCACAGCTGACTCCAGTTGGAATATATCACTTTTTAAATTAGTATTCTCCTGAAAAACATAAGAGCAAAAAGATTTACATTTTCTACAATTCAAAACATATTGGTAGCAAATTAAGAAGAATCTAGTAAACTGATGTAAAATACAAAGTGTGTAACAAAAAACGGAATGTTGCAATTAGCCCTATGTCTTTTGGCGAAATTGTCAAACGTACTAACGTAATCTGAATAGCTAAACCCCTGAGACTGCATAAACTTTAATAACACAAACCTACAGTAACAATATAATGAAAAATTCAGCTTAATACAATAATGTTATATTGGTAATAATGAAAAAGAGTTATATTATTAACGTTATTATAAAGCGTAAAGAAAATATTTTCTATCAGTTAGGCTCTCGTTGAATGCTTATAATAATGCTCTGTGAATAAATTTCGAATGATGCTTGAAACTTGATACTTGAAACTTATAAACGTTTATCGGACATCTGCTAATTACTCGAGAGATAATTAGCATAAACCATTAAGTTATATTTAGAGGGAATTGTGCAAAATGCATGCATAATTATTAGGGTCAAATGGTTCTTATTCTCATTTCTTGTGCAAGAAAGAATAACTTGCATACTATAAAATAATGATTTTTAACGCTTGACTTTTAATAATTATTAAGGTAGAAATATAAACTCCTATATATTCAACATCATTTAATGATCCTTAGAATATTTTTAGACAATTAATCAACTTCAATGGTTGAGATCATGAGTTAGTTGAAGCTAGACCACCATGGAAAACCTAGAAGCACTGGACGGTTGTTTCATCCTATTGTGGGACTCCTCAGCAGTGCGCATCCACGATCAGCCCAGTGGTTTAATAGTTAAGCGCTCGCTCGCGAGACTGATAGGTCCTGGGTTCAAATCTCGCGGGGGATGGGGTAGTGGATGGGCACTGCTAAGGAGTTTCACATTAGGATGAAACCGCCATCCAGTGATTCCAGGTTTTCCATAGTGGTCTAGCTTCAATTTACTCATAATTTCAACCAGTGAAATTTCTAAAATCTCCACAAAACTCCTTCCGATTCCCATATTAGTCTATTTAACTTCGCTAAAGAACACATTGCATCGAGAATTGGAAGCAAACATCATAAGGATGAACTCGAAACAACTGAGAAGTATTACCCAGAACAGAGTTTGATGAAGGATGTTGGTGGGCGGCCTGTGCTTCTGCACGAGGGGCAACAGGTATAAGTAAGTAAGTAATATTATTCTATTCCAAATGTCGTTTCCCATTATATTGCATGAATAATTTCTTTACCCATCTAGTTTCAGCGTTGGATTTCTTCAAGAAGAGTCTTCATGCAAATTTTTTAATTCTCCAGACACTAGCCTCTTTCTGACCACAGGTGTTTATTAAAATATACTAAGTTGAGGCTAGTCTAAAGTTAAGTAATAACTACATAGTTCTTAAATGGTAATGCGACATATCGCAGTTGACTTCATCATTCAACCAACTAAATCGAAGGTTGATGCTCAGTGCATGTATTTAATTTCATAACTTTAAGGTCCGTACATTGCGAATTTTTAAGTAGGAGTTCTTGGAAGATACGTTTGGGTATGATATAATGTTGTTGTCACAGAAACGATTGATTATTTTAATATATACGTGTAATTTATTTTGACCATAGGTATACGAAGACTTGAATGGTGTAAACGTTCTAGTAATGGAATAATCATTGTTCAAGTCACAAAACTGAAATTATAATCTATAGTCCATTTCTGTAAACTGATGGTTTTATTTAAACAAGGCTGTTTAAAATATGAGAGTGAAATAATAAAAGGGAGGTCGAAAATTTTTTGCACCATACAATATTATGTTACATAACGAAAAGGCATAATTACACATAGTATTAAGTTTGTGTGAATTATTTAGTTCGTGTAGAAAAAATTTTTAGGAGTGGTGTCAAATATAATGACATTCACAAAATAATCTAAGCTTAAGAATTTCGTTTCACGAGCTTTTGAAACTAAATATTTTAACCATAGTATCATTATCACCAAAATGAAAATCCGATTTTGTTGTTACCCATGGAAAATTTGAATAAGAAATAACAATTTTAGTAATTTTCAAACGAAATTTAACCTTCGATAAAGCAACTTCACGTTCTCGTGTTGCCAAATATCGCCGCCGTAAGCCAACTTCATTCACACGGAGTAATAATATCTGTCGTGACTGGTCAGCAATCTTTTGCTTTATGGGAGAACTTTCACTCTGTTCTTTATCACCTGATGAATCACATAAACTCGATAAAATATCTTGCAAATGATGTAGTTCACTTTTATGGACTGCCAGTTCGTTAACTCTCATTTCTGAACATTCCAAACGTTGTTCAAGTTTTTCTTTCTCTTTTTTCCAAGTCTTCAAAGGAGAGATGGATAAAATGTAGCAAAAAATAAGGTTAAAAAGACTATGATCAACAAAGTTTTGTTGTTTGACGATCCAGTAAAACCGGATTCAAGAAACCATTGGTTATTTCAGAACTAACATCGAGAGTGCGTTAAACAGACCTTCGATTTTCAGAGAACAAAAACATTTTTCCTAAATCAATCTTATTCCCTCTATTTAAATGGGCCAATTGAAGTGTTACTGCATGGTGCATCCCTCACTGAGGTAAGAAGCTTGAGTATTTACACAAATAAGACTTTACGCTAACCTGCTTTAACAACTACAGATGAACTGTAAGAAATTTACTATTATATGTTGCTTCTATCAGTAATATCCATTGTAGTCACCTTTATTCAAATCAATAGCAAAAGACTGTCGGGAAAGAGTTTAGTTTACATATATTTTCTAAATGATTGGTACTTTCACCACGAAGTTATTCCTTCTATGAATAAACACTCATTTATGCAGATCCTGACAAAACAAAATTTTGCAATGATTTCTTGAGGAACTCTGAAATGTATGCCAAGTATTCTGACTGGAATTGAAATATATGACTTCATGTTAAGTTTTGTACACAATACTTACATTAACTCCTATTTTTATAACTGTCAAGTGTAACTGTCAGGCATTTTTATACTGAGACTAGCTGTGGGCTGTGGGATATAATGTCACGATTATTGTATATCAATAAATACGACACAACAACTATGTTACCAAGACTCATGTAACGGTCAAAAAATTATTCTGTTTTCTCTAGTTCACTCAAGGGCATATCGATTCACGAAATTATTTTAAATTTGACTCAGCGTTCACCATGTTCCAAGTGCATATTAAGTTAACAGAAATGTTTGGAAGACATACAATGGATAACTAAATAAAAATATTAACATAAGAGACTAAATAAACATTAACCCTGAAAATTAGTGATTCACCAAATGGTATTGAATGTCTGCTAATAAGAATTTCCAGGGTTATGTCAGAGTTAAATAAGAAACTTTAAAATCAATTTAAAAAACAAACAAATCAATAAACTAACATACAGTATATGGAAACACTAAGTATTTTCTATTTGTTATAATTTCAGGTATCAAAAAATAATGGGGAGCAGACGCACGTGAATGGAAAGAACAAAGACAAAGCCTCTGTCACTTCCTTAGTTTTTACAACATAATAGAAATCTTGACAGACAGGTAAAATCTGTATCATATAGCAAAATAGAAATTAAATTTCAATGTGAATATGAAGACATTTAAGTTCTTTTCACTATCTGTGGAAAATTGCATGCTCATCCTTAACAGAATCAAAACCTCCTAATTAACTGAAGTGAGAATGTTATTATATAAATTTATTTGTATAAATTCTTACATCTAATACACAAACTTACTTGGCGTTCATTATAAAAGTCCCGATACAATAAACCTTGATGGTGTTTACAAACAGCATATTTTCTCCTTGCAGCTTCCATTTGATTGTCAATATAGGCAAGTTGTGTATTTTTATCACTAATATCTTTCATCATTGTCAGTAAGTGTTCTTCTAGTGATAAAATAACTTTAGCTGTATCAGGGTTAATATCTTTTGGAAGAGGTGACTGACCCTCAAGAAATGCTTGGCTTGGTATATTATTATCTAAGAGATTAACTGATTCAAGCTGCGACTCCAACTGTTTAATTCGATTATGTGCCTCGTTCAGTTTTACCTCATATAAAGCACTACTCATGCGTATATCACGAAGATTTGATCGGAGCTCCTGATTTGCTCCCTAAAAATGAAATACCAAGGTGTATTTATTTTCCGAACACGATTCAAGTAGGAATAAACATTAGATACATAAAGTAAGGTCTTGATCAGATCCTAACAATATTAAAATTAAAACGTTCTAAAAATTACATTAAATCATATGGTACCTGACTTGAATTTAACGACAGAAGTATTAATATTTTTATTTAGAGCATTAGACCTAAAAGTGGATATTGATTTTTGTGAGGGATTCCTGTACTTTTTGCAGTGAATCATACTACTGAGACAAATTGATCACTAGGTCAAAGCAAATGTCATCTCCCTTAGATTTTATTTCTGATAGGATTATACTGACCGACATATAATATGGTCACTTAACTAAGTAGCTTAAAATTTCAGTGGACTATGAGTGATGAAGAAAATTAACAGGTGGCCTTGGACTCAAGTTCTAGGCCAGTTGGGACTCGTAGTCAAGACGTATCTACAGTTGTATGGAAAGTTCTTCAAATCAGCGTTACCCAAATATGGGATGTTAATCTTTTATCGACGCTGACTTTAATCATAAAATAATACCCTGTTGGGTTCTACACATTTGCATATTTGAACAATCAAGTTAATGATCCTTTCAAAGTCTCTGAAAATGCTTCCTTTCTGTTACACTTATCGTTGTTTCGGTTAACCAGGTTAGTTTGATTTACAGTTAGGAATCGTTGATTCTAAGGATAGGTTGTATAAGTAGTAATCTCCGGTTAACTATTTGTATTTTCTTCAGCAATAAATTATATGTTCTCACTCGATAGATCATAAATATTGAGTGTATTATTTGACAGAACTAGCTGATGTTATTGATTAATGATGTGTTGTTATTTTTGTAATTATGAACACAGAGAAAGTTACAATTTTGTACTTAATGGTAAGTTGGCATTGTTTCCACCAAGAGTACTGTCTGTCAAATATCTAGTAATAATCATTTATTCCAATATTCAGTTTAAAAATCCGATTACTTCAACGTTCAGATATCAGTGAAAAGTGATTATCTAGGCAGGTTAAACCGAATCACATTCATTAAGTTAAGGGAAAATATACTTGATGAATAATTTATTGATAGTTTAATTTGTTTCGACAGAAATATTTCGTTTTTAATCTTAATGAAGTAGTATACTGAGAAATTATGAGTGCTATTTTGACAAATAACTACCTAAAAAAAGTTTCTTCATATTGCTGTATCAAATGACTGTATTGTAGACCATTGAAATGCTTCAGTCATATCTATGACGAAATAATGATTTATACATAAGTAATATCAGTTTAAGTGTCTATAATAAATATCGTCAGGTGAAAAGACAATTATGTAGAATAAAACATGGCAAAATGGTATATCAGCATGAAAGGTTAGTCAGTAAACGTGACTTATGTATAAGAAAAGAGCATGATAGGAATAAGAAAATATTTTAACAATAGTGACATCAGGGAACCAGAAAGAAACTAAGGATAGTTTTATTTGCATTTGTAGAAAGATTTGGGTCTTAGAAGGAACTGATATAACGGTCATAAAAACAATGTCTTATCTTTTCCATCAAGAACTTGAAGAAGATAGACGGTATATCGATTATAACAAATTCCGGTGGGTCTGTGATTGCTGTTTCCTTAGAATGGATAGATTTCTAAATCACTCTGAAATCCATATGATTGGCTTGTTTATTATGGAAACAGTTCGATGATAAAGTCTGGCTACCGACTTATCTTCCCATGTTCCCTGTAGGATCGGTGATATTCTTAAAACCAATGACTTAGTTGCCGTGGATATTGACTGAAGGATCCTAATTTTGACAGCACACAAGCTCCTTACAAAAAAATGAAGATAGCAAGCAGATTAGTACTTATTGTGCCCTGTTCATTTATAACTTAGAACTCATACAGTAATATGCCGCAGTTATCTGACCACACAGTAAGAAACTACAGTGTAAACAACTCAGTTATGAATGACACAAAGACGGAACAATAAGGAACTAATTAATAGTAAGTCTGGAACATTATGACAACGACGATTATTGGGTCAAACAAGAGCTTACAAATAAAAGAATATAAAGATTAAACAATTCAAGCGCTTAATAATTATACCATAATATAAACACTTTTTCTTTAAAGGATAGCTCTGAAAATTTAGTTTTTCTCTGATTCTCTTTGAGATGACGATATTTATTTATTAGATATCTCTTGACTGATATTTTACGGCATATTAAAAAAAAGAGTATAAACTTTATCAATAACTCACTTCAAGTTGATCTACTCTGGACTTTAGAAATTGTCCAGAGTCAATATCTTCAACCATGTTTCTTGCGTCTAATGCAGCTAGTAATTTGTCTAAAGATGGACAGTCTAGTTGAATGATTTCATTCTTTATTTTTAACTTGTTATTGGCCACTTCTCTTCTTTCTGTTTTGGTTATATTGTTAGATTTAGATTGTTTCTTTTCTTCACTTAGATCAAGTTGATTCTTTGACTCAATATGGAAAGAGTGTATCTGGTTTTGAACTTCCTTCAGACCACTTTCTAGCAGAACATTTGCTTCAGTAATTTGCTTCAAGCGTGTTTCTAGTTTATCATGCTTTTTATGTTCTTCTTCTATTTGCTTCACTGCTTGAACTAATTCCTCATCAAGTACTTTGAACTAATTTTTGTTCACCAGAAAGAAAACAATGTAAAAGTTGTATAACTTTAGTGCGAAATTGACGCGTTTGTGAACCACAAAGGACAAATGTAACTTAACAGAAATTCAGATTATTGGTAGTGAACTAAGAGCAAAGTGTTGACAAACCGTTTAGCTGAGATTATTTGCCTAAACACAAGCTACTATCTTCCGGTGTTTACTAGAGAAACATCTAAAAGTTTATGATACTTTGAGTATAGTTATAATTTCTTTAATCAGTATGACTAACAATAGAGTTATCCGAAATATTTCTCATAATACTACTTTATGTGTACATTCAATATATTTCTGTTAGTGAGTCGTTTTCCTTGATTTTTTAAGGATATTAATCCGCTGACCATCCCTATTCAGCGCATAAATTCCACTTCAGTTAGTGTACGAACTGACTGACGTATCATGAATCCTTGATAGTGTTATAGGTGTGTTTACTCATCACTCAAAATTTTACCTAAGGTTACTGACAAATAAAGATACAATACGCAGATCATAGATATCTATGACTTCGTACGAGATAGAAGTTAGTGATTCTAGGTCTCACGAAAAGCGAAAAACCTTTATATTTGGATCAAATGTTTAACAATTCCGACTTTAGTCAACTTTGAATAATGAGAGATTTTCAACATGTGTACCATTGGAAATAAGAATCTGACGCACTTTAAAAATAAGGAAACACGTACCCTTGCTTTCCATACTTCTGGAAGGTCAGTTAGTTTGTCTTGTGTTGGGGAACTTTTGTTTTTCTGACTAGATCGAGAGGCAGAAACCACTCGAGCTGACTGAGTTGACACAACTTCCTCACTAACTGCAGACAAAAATGTTATTCGGATTTCAGATATTCAGGCGAAAATTAAAAAGAAAAACAAAGTGTCTTTATATTATTTAATAAGAGCAAAACTATACTAGGTAGATTCTAATCTATGGTCTTTCAAAAGTAACTGTGAGTAAACTTGGATACGATCATATAAAAACGTGGTACACTGTCTAGTTGAGTATTTTTAAACAGAAATTTAATTAATCGTCATTCTCAAATAATATCGTCCCCAGTGTGTAGTCATAAATAATTTCCACTACAATAATATGGCTAACAAATTCACTTTGTCTAGACCAAAGGATGTGGGTTCAGTTCTCACATGCGCGGTTGTGGTTGCGCACTGTTGAGGAGTCCTACACTTGGACGACTCTATCATCCAGTGCTTCCGGGTTTTCGATGGTGTTCTAACATTTATTGGTTCATAATTTCAATGAAATCCAACAATCTCCACAGACCCTTACTGACAAGTTGTGGATTATTTTTTTAACTTTTGAAGATTAAATAGCAGACAAGAGACGACGTAGACCATTTACGCTAAACTTGATTTAAGCGTATAAAATAAAGAAAATAAGGTAAAGGAGAAAACCAGAGAAGATTTAAGGGTTTACAGCAATCTTAAACTGTTGCAGCTTCCGCTTCTCTTAGATGTCTTAATTTATTTCCTGACATAAATGAAATAAATGAACCTTAGTTGCTTAGTAAACTTTATTTTCATTCATGATTATCTATTCGTTATCCGATATGGATATCTTCTTTTGAACAGCTGAGTACTTGAATTTTGTCAAATTAGTCGCTTTCTCAAGATTATGATATTATTTGATTTGTTTTGTGATGTTGTGCTTAACAACTGTGTTGGTTATTATAGTGAATTAAATTCAAAATGTTCTATCGATTAGTTTTCTCACTTTGTGGCAAATCTATTATGAATGTACGTGAAACAAAGTATGAATATAGCTAATATATAATCATTGAGTAGTTAGCTAATGTATCAGAACGAGACACTAAGTTCTAGTTCTTAGAGCTTACCTTGGTTCAAATTACCTAAGAGTACTCCATCCACGTGCAAATCTGATGAACCATATTGTTGGCCTAACTGACGTGCAAGTGTACGTAGTTTACGTTTCAGCTCCAACCTTTCGTCTTCTAATTTTTCGATCTAATTATGCACATTTGAATTGACAACAGTTTAAATTATCTCTAGGCATATAGATCATAAATTAATTCTCATTATTTTTTATTAGATAATAACAATATGCCCAATGCCTAAAATATAACAAATATTTTTAGTTTCGTATACTGTTATGTCAGGATTTTACTTACACGTTCATTGAACGATAACTATGAATGGTTAATAATACGTGAATCAGACAATAATAAGAAATTTTATTATCAGACCAACTTTTCAACTTTATTTATTTTATTTGAGGTTCATTTTTCTAACAGAGTAAGAATATGATACTTAGACTAAGATAATTACGATTTTGTCTGTGGTTCTGAAACAAAATTTTACTTTATTTTCTTGTTTGTCAACTGATAGTGGTGTACTTTCTTGTGGTACCATACAGTGATTTCTGTCACCCTAATTTATTTTTATATGTCGCTAAAGATGACTTATATAATTTAATTGGTTGAGAAGTCTAATATGAAATTTGTAAGTTCTCCAAATGTTGAAGTGAAGTGACTAAACTGCTGAGGAGCTTTAGGCATTTTGCCCGCAAGAATGTGTGCACTAAAACAAAAGTTAAATATACTTAGATCAGAATGTGCAGAGGGAATAATTAAAAAATGAATCTCAAGAACTCAGCAAAGTTAATTAATAAACGTGGTTTACATGTGTACATATACAAACTTCATCATAGGTATATGTATTGAATAATATTATAAAATTATTGAACAATGTGCTAAATATCTTTATAACCTATTGAAGTCAGATTTTCCATATGAAGCTACAGACTGAAGGCAAAGCACTGAACACAAATATCTACTTCACTTTCAAAAAATGCATAGAAAGTGTTCACGTACTTCTTTTTGTAGTATTATATTTACGGCACGATCTTCTTCAACTTCTGCTCGTTTTTGACGACGGTAGCCATTCAGATCAATTTTTTCAATCAATGGTATTCCCAGCTTACTTCTTAAATGTTCATTTTCTAAATTTATTTCATTAAGAGATGATTCAGCTTGACTTGCTAGACGACAAACCTCTTCCAATTGTCTTTCTTTTGAGTTTAATTGTAATCTAGTAGCTTTTAATTCAGCAATAGCTTCTGATAAACCGTACTCTCCTTCTTCATAACGTTTTAGTTGCTTTTCTAAAATATTTACCTCGTTGGCTTGAGACTGAGCAGCTTCTTCAGCCTGAGTACATTAAAATAAATCGACTGATTAAGTTCTGAATGATTGGGACAAGCTGAAACAACATTTGAAAGCAGTTTACTAACTGTATTAAAATTAACTGTCTTATCTGTCATATAATATTGGGTTCACTGTAATCTCTTGCGGAAAATAAAGGGACATACTTGAGGAATATCAGGAAAAAATACATGAAAATCACTAATCTGTATAGTCGGTAGTGTTTTCATATCTATAAGTTGTTATTTCCCGACAAGAATAATAAATGGTAACTTTTGGGATCTACTGGTGGCCCAATACTAAACGTATATTTATATTGTATGATTAATAAGTAGCTAAACTATGCATATTCATATTTCTTTTATTATAAGCTTTATTTTGACCCATAAACTATTACTATACGTTTCATTATTCTCGAGTTATACCCAGTACATTAATTACTACCTCCCTCAATCGCAGCCACATCTGGCTAAATCTTGTACAAATGTTATTTTCTATTTTATGGTACGATGTGGTCTGTTTGATTGGTATGTAAACAGAGTATGTTTGAAATACAGGATTCATATCACAGAGGCTGAGATTTGTGTTCTGGACTTAACTGGATGGGCTAGGTGGAAAGCAGGACCAATCAAGACTCTAGACTGCTCGCACGTGTTTTACGCGTCCTTGGTCAGATCGATAATTCATTGTCCTCTAATCGGCGGTTACAAGTTATAACATGAATGCTAACACACCTCAAATAAATTCTCCATGAAAAAAACGCAGCCACTTACGTCTTTCGGCAATTTGATTTTGTGACCATTTAGCAAAAGCCCTAAAATGAATTTCATGTGATGTGAAAATCCTCGAAGTGTTTTCCAAATATGATTTACCACAATAAAAACATTTCTATCCAGCACTTTAGTTAACTAACTATGCTTCTAAGTTGAATTCAAAACAGACAGACTTATAGGGATAAATTCTGTGTAAAAGCCTCAAACTCTTGGCAGGAAATTCCATGCTAGAAGGATCCACATCTCATCTGTTTGTTTTGCCAGCTAGAAGTTGTATCTAATACTTACTGTCGCGGGTATAATAATAAGCGCAATTTGTCAGTCTAACAACCTTCATTGAAAATAAACTAAAAGCAACTACTATCCAACTTAGTCAAAAGATATCTTGGATTTATGACATAAAGGTGTTTTAATCTATGCATATGTAATGCTAAAAGACGTATTTAGAGATGAGAAACATAGGTATTCATCCTAAATTATTCGACAAGAGGAGCAGAACTCCTAATGAACTTGCCAAACTAAATGCGCCGCAGATGAGGATTTACCATATGTACCATCTATTCGACTAATCTAAAACAAACAACTACAACTAAAAACTAAGTATTGAGAGAATCTGGGCTGAATTGTTCTCAAAGCAATGCAATGTTAAAAAAGTTAGGGCTGAAAAATGGCACCAACGAGTTTATGCTTTTTATCTGCTTTAATCATAATAACAACCAAACTTATTCAGATAAATTAAAGCTTTAAGCTCTTATGATAAGGTCAGCGATTTACAAGATTTACTGAGAAAAGACGTCACAAAGTCATTTTTTGTAATGGACATATATATGGTTAATGCAGAATTTTTCACCAAATAAAGTAAAATTTCTTATATTAGAAAACAACCTGGTATATTCTCAAGACAAAAAATGAAAGCATGTAGGTGTATACAGTTAGGTTTTCAAAAAATATTCTCATAACCTACAAGCTCCAACCTTTTCTCCAGTTCAATGTTAAGGTTTTCTTTTTCTTGAAGTTGTTTTCTAAGGACAACAATACGTTCAGCTTTGCGACTGCTGGGGTCAAATTCATTCTCATTTGATTGCTTTGCGAGTTCGTTTAAAAGAGTTGTGCTTTTCTCAACTTCATTTGTAGCATCCGTGAGCTGTTTTTTTAGGGAGTGTATCTATTTGAAACCAATAACACAAATGTTACATGACATAAGATTATAAATAATATTCGGCTTGAATAGTTAGCTAAATATGTTTTATGAGGATAAACGACACACTAACGTCTCACATACTGATATTCGTGGAATCGGTTTAAATTGGCAATTGAATATTTCCTTATTTACAGTGATATTCAACATTTCAGTAAATCGCCACATATGGGCTACAAAGATTGGATTTACAGGTATCCGTAGCCTATGAACACAGGTTTGAGTTATCGTGTACTTTTTGATGACTTTATGCTGGCTTCATAAGATTACATTAAAGTTACATTAGATTTTTCATACAAACAACATAAAACCGAAAAATTAGATGTGAAAGAACATCTAAAAAACATCAATCTCAATTTTCAATTGTCTATCTGAGAAATTTATTGTGTATTCTGTAGTGTCATGAACGTAGTCTGTATAAATTACTAATTTTTGAATTTCCTTGTCACTTTTTATCTCATACCCTAACGTGATTAGAGTTATTTCGTATTAACTAGGGTGATCAACGATCTATACTAGTTAGATTAGACCACTTCCAGTTCTCGAACTAGTATCTAAGTTTACTTAATTACAAAACCTGAATCACTATACATAAAGATTTAAATTAACTTATCAAGTTCTATTGCTCTCGATCTTTTTTAAATTAGATACAATCTTTACAACCTAGCTGAGAGTTGGAGAACTAATGTTGATCTCCCATTTACATTCATAAGAGATAGTGGTTAACTGGAGAGTATCCAGATGCCATTTGAACTGCTCTTTAGAGTTTTCCAATCATCAATATTATATCCCGGACTAACAGTGAATTAATGTGACTAACAGATTAATTTTTAACACCCGTTTCCCTGATGAGTCGAAATAATTATCTAGTGTTAACCATTGCTACCATCTTTTCTAACTCCCTTGCTTCCACATCTTACCACTGCACACGATCATTCTGTACGCCTTTGATTAGTCCAAAACTAAGCTATCGTCACTGTTCATCGTTCTCCAAGTATGTTTGTTTGGATTTTCCAGCATTTACCTATTCACTGGATGCCCATATGCATACCAAGGACTCTCCAAAATAAACCAATCAGTCCATATCAATTCAGGGCCTGGGACAAATGAGTTTTAGTTTAAAATATAACACATCATATTAGAACAGCAAGAACGAAAATGTACAAGAAAGGAAGTTAAAGAGGATAAACGATGTCAACGGTTATCTAAAAATTTAAAATACAGTTTAATAAAGATGAAACAATTAAATCAAGGAATAGAAATGGCACTTTTACCCAAACTATGGGAGATTATGATAGATGGTTTCAACTGCTTCACTAAAGACGATCCTGAACCATTTTGCTCAGCACCTTCAATCATTAGTCAAAATACTACGTAGGTTTAATTAAAGACATTTAGACGTACCAAGATATGTCAGTGGATTATGCACCCGACGTTTAACGCCCAGTTTTAGCCTTAAGAACTTCAATAAACAAAAACACTCCAAGTTAAAAAAAAACCAATGATTCAAACCTATTACATTTTCGTTTACACATTGTGCTTCTTACAATTTTTGTTTTTAATAGGCCTATTCACTTTGCTTTCCACTCATGTCCCTACTGCAACCCATTATCTCTTTCAGAACCATAATGTACCCTTCTCAGTGATTAATTTTGTGCAATCGATCTATCCAAATATAGTATTTTAAAAGCTTTTGTTTTATAAAATATACATGGCTAACGCTTTGATGTACTAAACGAATTCTAGGTTATGTAGTGGTTTGTACTCATCGACTTTCAGCACCTGAACAAAAAACAGATGAGTTAGGAGAATGTAAGGCATAAACTATCGTGGCTATTTACCCTGAGAATTTAGTGCATGATCTTTAAAACGCACAAATATTTACCTACATAAAACATCCAAAACCTTGCTATAAAAAGCTTTTGTCGAGATTTTAGTCATAAATAGAGTGAAAATACTCATAAATGTGATAAAAAAAAAGATGGTAATCATTTTAGTTACCTGAACATCACGATCTTTTATGGACTTCATTAGGGCTTGTACGCTGGTTTTATCGGAGTCAGCTTTAAGATCTCGCAATTCCTGAGAAAACTCTATTATTCGTTCATTAAGCCTAACTATTTCCATGTCTTTGTCTGCCAGTATCTAAAAATTACTGAGAAATAAATTTCAGTACCTCTTTCCATTCCTCAATCTTCTGTTCAACAACACTCATGATAAGGTTATTTGTTTCCTCAGGATGACCAATCTTTTCGGAAAGATTGGCCAACTGAGCGCGCAACATACTACATTCAGCTGACTTTTCTGCGTGACTTTTATCTGCTTCTGATAAGGCTTCTTTCATTTTCACATAGTCATCGGTGGCACGATCGATTTCCATGCTGGCTTGCCGGAGGTTGCTCTCCAAACGATTGACATCACTCCATAAATTCTGTTTTTCATCTTCTAATCCCTGATCAAATAGTTAAATAATTATAATTCTTACATCTATTTCAGCTTTCTGTACCCTTATTTTTGCACGTAAGGAGGAAATTTCTTTTCTGTAATTAGCCTCTTCATTACTTTTGCCAAAAAAGCTGGGTCGATCTTGGAGTTGCAGGTGTAAGTAATCACAACGCTCTTGAAGTTCCTTATTTTCTTTTGAAACCAGTTCCACTTTTCTTTCCAGATCACCCTTTTCATTCAAAAGTTCTTCTTTTTCCTTAAAAGAAGCATCTTTGGCTATCCTTAAAGATTCTAGTTCAGATTGCAGTTTGACGACTTTAAACTCAAGTCTCCTCGTCTCACCGATGCTTCCTCTATCAAGACCAGAAGCAGAAATTGCTTTTTGCAAATCTTTGTTCTCTTGTTCTAGTTCCCTTATTTGATCTTTCAGATTATTTATTTCTGAGGTTTTATCTAACAGGCTTGTCTCTAATAACTTCCATTGTTCCCATTTCAGGTTAAGCAACGTCTGAGTAATTTGAAAAACATGCTTAAGTCGATCATTATCATCCCAGTCCTCAACATTAGCCTGAAATAATCAAATAATGTAGAGAATCTGTGCATACATCTAAAAATAATTGACAGTAATAGTTTGCATTGTCTATATCTATGTCAGCTTCATTTAACTTCGCGATTTTATCCCACGAGAATTCCAACATGATTCTCAACAATTTACATTAGCAACGTAATTGAATTTCCACATATATTGCCGAAACGAATAAACACCAACACATCAACTCCAGCAATTCAATGCCTTGTTAAATTTTCATTGAAAGTAAAATTAATTTAGGATCTGCAGATTACAACGGCATCTCAATTTTAAACTTGAGTTATGTTGAATTAAAATAATGATATGATTATTCTTTGGCAGGATGTACGCACTGATTCGTATATACGGAAAAACGTGAACTTTGTGCCCACCTTTCAGAAGTCTCAGGGAAAAAAATAATTCCGACCCGGCTTGAGTAGGAACCTCTACCACGTTTAATGGGTACTAATGGGTAGAGTCAGCTTGAGATGTCAGATTTGGATTCTTAACATAAAAACGTTTAAATACACTTCTCATATGGGTTTTTTGTGTCCAACTACTAAATGGAAACATCCTGATTGGACATCATTTGTTCTTCAGCGGTGCACAGATCGCAGCAGCGATAGTTCTGAACAAAACGGAAATGGTTTGCTCCTGAGAACAAATAACTTTTTGTTAGCTCTACTTTGAACCACCTTTAAAAAAATTTCTTCTACATGATATCGAACTCACGTGTAAAGTAAGTTTTCGATCAGTACAACATACTTATAATGAACATGAGGTCGTGTCACTAGACTTAATCAAGATGTAAGCCGTAAGTTTATTACTGTTTTTTTTAACTATCGGGACTATACGTTTCTTTACTTTAGTGTTATACTTATTCTAGTTTAAAGAGTAGACATATGCCATACATCATAAATAATTCTGATATTGCTTATTTAGTCGTAAAAAAGAAAAAATCTAGCAACTCGAAAGTGTAAACTGTACACCACTCATCATTCTAAAATATAGCCGCAATAATAAAAAACATCACAGAACAAGTATTTTGGGAAGCAATGCATTCTCAACTACAGACTCAACGATCCATTAACCACGTAAGGATGAGGAACTGTCACATCAGTTAAGATTGACGAGGATCCTGATGTCTATTAAGAATTCAGAGGACTTCCATTATATGCACATAATATAACATTTGATTTTCCTATGATTTGTCATTTCTGCAGCGATTCGGGAGGATCTCCCGGTGTCCCACATTGTACGAACATTCCATGTACCTAAATAAATGGTCGCTCTGGTTGTCAGAAGGGACGACATAGTTCTTCTAAATGAAGAACTTCTGACTCCCAGGACAGAGTTTAAAAGAATTGAATAATTTCTTCTGGTTAGCGTTTTTTAGCGAGTTAGTTTTCTACGGGATGGGAACGCTCCTGTTATACTCCAGCCATGAAGAAGAAAATGCCCCGCATGCACAAGGAGTTTCAGTGATGCTGTCCAAGCAAAGCAAAATGCGCTTATAGGTTGGGAATCTGATGGACCAAGAATAATCAAAGCCTCGTTCAAAACAAAAAGGAGGGCATTTCAATGAATATCATCCAACGACTACAATGAAGACGCTAAAGATCAATTATACAATAGGCTGCAGTCAATCGCTGAGAAGTGCCCAACAAAGAACCTGACCATTCTGATGGGAGATTTCAACGCCAAGGTTGAAACGGACAACACTGGATATGAAGACATCATGGGACGACATGGACTGGGAGAAAGAAACGAAAATGGTGAGAGATTTGCAAACCTATGTGCCTTCAATAAACTGGTCATAAGTGGCACCCTATTCTCACATAAACGCATTCACAAAACCACATGGACTTCACCGGATCACACCACGCAAAACCAAATCGACCATATTTGCATCAACAAAACGTTCAGGAGGACTATAGAGGACGTGAGAACCAAGAGAGGAGCTGATATAGCATCAGATCATCACTTGCTGGTCGCCAAGATGAAATTGAAACTCAAGAAGCAATGGACAACGGGGCGGAAAACATCACAAAAGTTCAATACGGCCTTTCTTCAGGATATTAACAAACTCAACAAATTCAAGATAGTCCTCAGCAACAATTTCCAGGCCATTCATGATCTACTCAATGGAGAAGGAACTACTGTGGAGAGCAACTGGAAGGAGATCAAAGAGGCAATCGTCTCAACATGTCATGAGGTCCTGGGTCACAAGAAGCATCATCACAAGGAATGAATCACTGTTGATACACTGGATAAGATTCAAGAAAGAAGGAAAAAGAAGGCAGCAATCAATACCAGTCGAACAAGAGTAGAAAAAGCCAAAGCACAAGCTGAATACACAGAAGTAAACAAACAAGTGAAGAAGAGCATCAGAAGCGACAAACGTAAATATGTGGAAGATCTAGCAAAGACGGCGGAAAAGGCTGCAAGAGAAGGGAACATGGGACAACTGTATGACATAACAAAGAAACTCTCTGGAAATCGTCGCAAACCAGAACGATCAGCGAAAAGCAAGGAAGGTGAGGTAATCACCAACATTGAAGAGCAACAAAACAGGTGGGTAGATCACTTCAAAGAACTCTTGAATCGACCAGCTCCACTGAACCCACCCAACATCGAAGCAGCACCCATGGACCTCACAATCGATGTTGGCCCACCAACAATTGAAGAAATCAGCATGGCCATCAGACAAATCAAGAGTGGCAAAGCAGCAGGACCGGACAACATTCCAGCAGAGGCACTAAAAGCAGACGTAGCGGCAACTGCAAGGATACTCCACATTCTCTTCAATAAGATTTGGAACAACTACCAAAAAACTGGAAAGAAGGACTCATGATCAAAATACCGAAGAAAGGCGATCTCAGCAAGTGTGATAACTACAGGGGCATCACTCTTCTTTCAATACCGGGAAAAGTCTTCAACAGAGTATTGTTAAACAGGACGAAGGACTGCGTAGACGCCCAACTTCGTGACCAACAGGCAGGATTCCGTAAGGATAGATCGTGTACAGACCAAATCGCAACCCTACGGATCATTGTGGAACAATCAATTGAATGGGATTCATCACTCTACATCAACTTCATTGACTACGAAAAGGCATTTGATAGCGTGGACAGAACAACACTATGGAAACTTCTTCGACACTACGGCGTGCCTCAAAAGATAGTCAATATCATACAGAGTTCATATGATGGATTACACTGCAAAGTCGTGCATGGAAGACAGTTGACAAAGTCGTTCGAAGTGAAGACCGGTGTTAGGCAAGGTTGCTTACTCTCACCCTTTCTCTTTCTCCTGGTGATCGACTGGATCATGAAGACGTCAACATCCGAAGGGAATCACGGGATACAATGGACATCTAGGATGCAGTTGGACGATCTAGACTTCGCAGATGATCTAGCCCTTCTATCCTAAACGCAACAACAAATGCAGGAGAAGACGAACAGTGTAGCAGCAGCCTCAGCAGCAGTAGGTCTCAATATACACAAAGGGAAGAGCAAGGTTCTCCGATACAACACAGCATGCACCAATCCAATCACAATTGACGGAGAAGATTTGGAAGATGTAAAATCCTTTACATATTTGGGCAGCATCATTGATAAACATGGTGGATCTGATGCAGATTTGAAGGCGCGGATCGGCAAAGCAAGAGCAGCATATTTACAACTGAGGAACATCTGGAACTCAAAGCAACTGTCAACCAACACCAAGGTCAGGATTTTTAATACAAATGTCTACTGTATGGGGCAGAAACCTGGAGAACTACGAAAGCCATCATCCAGAAAATACAGGTGTTTATAACAGTTGTCTACGCAAAATAGTTCGGATCCGTTGGCCGGACACTATTAGCAACAACCAACTGTGGGAAAGAACAAACCAGATCCCAGCGGAGGAAGAAATCAGGAAGAAGCGCTGGAAGTGGATAGGACACACATTGAGGAAAGCACCCAACTGTGTCACAAAACAAGCCCTCACATGGAATCCTCAAGGCCAAAGGAAAAGAGGAAGACCAAAGAACACATTACGCCGAGAAATGGAAATAGACATAAGAGAAATGAACAAGATTTGGATGGAACTAGAAAAGAAGGCCCAGGAAAGTGTGGGTTGGAGAATGCTGGTCGGCGGCCTATGCTCCATCGGGAGTAACAGGCGTTAGTAAGTAAGTTCTCGTTGACTTGTCTTTAAAATAAGATTAGCCGCCGATTTTGATAATATATGTGTTTATACTAATTAAATATTCTTTCGCACATTATTTTGCGCCTGGTTCGAACTACAAAGACGTCACTTTTTGATTGTATTATTGGCATTTGCTCCGACTTTGACAGTGACTTACACGTCACTGTTAGAGTACTGACTAGAATTTTCTAGGAATTACTATTTTTCATACTGAATTTAATCACTTCTGTATATCACAATAAGTCATGTTTGCAGTCCATTTTATTCTTTCACCAGGACCACGTGGCACAAAGTTTTACTGGTACATGTCTGAATCAGGGCAAACCGCTAATCAACTAAACAGCCCTTTGACTTACATGGATGCTAAATCTAGATCTCGCCTTGAATTTAAGAGCTGTCTTTCGAACCTCAGATCAACACTCTCCCATATTAGTCAATATTATACTGTATTGTCTTCTTACATTATCAATTTCACTCGACAGCAATCATATGTAATGTAGGGCGTTTGGCTTGCCAGTTAACTTCCTGAAACAGATCGAGATGAAAATCACCATACGTAAACAACACGCTTTCAACAACGTGGAAGTGCAATCTATTTAAAAACTACTAGTAGTTTAGTTACTGATGTTATTTGCTGGTATATAATTTCCATACTTTTATCGGGATCAGAGGAGCTTGTTCCATAAAATCATTGCAACACGACTACAATTATCACAGCCATATAAAATTATTACTTTTCTTAGTCTTACTGTATTTTTTTAACAGCCTGTCCGACATTAAATACATGTTTTAAATAAATCCTTTACTTGCATGCTTATTGTTGCACAATTATTTATGATCAGTTGCTAGTATCTACTTTTAATTTATCCCTCGGTCTGGCAATAGACAGAGTGAAGTATTTATTTCATGGAGAACTCCAGCTATTGAGTATGTCTTGTGTCACAATGCATCATGTTGATTATTGGATAGCATAAGAATATGCGCGTTAGGCATCTATACCTTTCGACTTGATCCAATAGTAGGATTAGGTTTTGTACTGAGGCATTACAAGTCAAATCGCCAAATAGATTTCTGGCATATCCTACATGCGTAACGGCCACTAATAAATATGCAGCTTGCTATTCTTATTCATCTATCGCATTCTAAATGGAATCTGGAATTTCTTCGCCAATTGTTTCATAATTTTATTGATTAATGTCCCGAAATCCAGCTTCTGTGTTAATAAGTATTCTGTGGAGATAAAAATTTCCCCAAAACGTTTCTTGTTCACGCTGTCCATATTAGTTCTACTGAACACCCAGCGAGTGAAGACTCTTAATTGAAGGCTTAAATTACATCAAGTTTCAGTTTATCATAGATTTCTTGTACATCTTCAAATATTCAGTATTGGGGTTTAAAATTTCACTTCTTCTGCATGTGAACCCGACATAGTTTTCCCAACAAGCATAATCACCTTTCTTTTTGTTATCTTCGGTTTGTCACAATATAAGATACTCAGTGGTATTTTGGCCATTAATTCTGATTCGTGCAACTAGTTCTATGAATGATAATCTCATGTGTTCCATGGATATGTTGGTACCACGTATATTTTCTCATATCGATTGTGCTTGATAAAACATTACCGGCCATCAAATTCGGTACGAAGTCAGCACACATCTACTTTTAAAATATTAGCAATTATGTCAAGAGCCTAACAAGTTATTAGAAATAGAGAAATCAAATTCAAGTTTCCTTCAATAATTTTGACGCTACCACCAGCTATTTGCCCTCATCTCTTGTTGCTTTATAACTTACCGTTGTTCATCCGATTTCCATTTATTGAGGTAAAAAATGTGGGTATACTAGCGATTTAGAGTGCGTTTCAACCAAGACTTTTCATCCGAAATAAATTTATTATTGATTGTTAATTTTAGTGATTTCCCATATTTCATTTAAATCATCTTGGATCTGTACTATATCAACTAATAAACGAAACCTATAATATCATAAAAATGCAAGAATTAACCTTGTTTAATTCGATAGCGTAGTTTAATGGTTTTTTCTGCTGTAATCACATACTAATTATCAATTCTTAATTAGTTCAAGTGAGTCATTCTCATAATTTTTAAAGCGAGCACAATCTCCTAGATATCTCGGTTGAAACAATCCGAAAATACTGTTTAGGACGACATACAGCCAGAAATGTGTATTTCGAGATACACGGTTTCAACTTTTGCCTAGGTTTAACACTAAGTCTTTATTGCAATTGTGTTTCCCACAATTTGTAAGTGTTACTAAACTATAGCAGGATTTTCTTTTAAGTTTATCTGAATTACGGCCACATGAGTCATTCTGTTCTTTTTGCCTTTTTCACTTATGTCATTACAGCCTAAAGTGAAGCGTCTATGCGAGATTCAATGCTCTGGGTTTGACTTCAGAGCAGCGATTATGGATGCGCACTTTTGGGTAGTCCCATACTGGGATGAAGGCTCTTTGTACGTTATGTGAACAACTTACAACATTGTAATATCGAGGACCTGGTGCCTATCTGATAACTCCTATATAACACTCAAATTAGATAACCACAACTATCATATGAAAAAAATTAAATAGATACCGGTTCGGCCGTCTTTTTCATCGTCGTTAATAACAGTAAGTTACATGAGGCATGTCAGTTGATGGTTAAAATCAAACGTTTATATGTGATTTAACAACGATCACTCTGAAGAAGGATCTACCCCGATCAACAAACTAGGACAGCCATGAAGTTCTTGTAAAAAAATAGAAAATAATAATACACCAGTGTAGATGATAAGTTGAATCATAACATCGCTGATAACGTTAAATCTGAAAAGTATAATTCAAGAGTTAGGCGTGTAATAAAAATAGGATGATATCAGTGCTCATTCTCTGTTTCGTTAAGACGATTACTGAAAGTTGAACAGTTATACAAGTAAAGTATAGCTATTTATGGCGAGAAATAATATTCCAAATACATATAAAAACGTCTTTTGGCTTTCTTTTAGAAGTCTCTATTTGATAGTTATGCCGAACATCTTGTGGAAAAAGCCTTTACAGAATTTAAACTTAGCGATTTTAGCTATGGTGAATATGAATGTTTGATTAATGGCACAAAACAAATGAAAGCGTTCCTTATTTGTATGTTAAATATTCCATCGTGATGATATGCAACGCAGAAATAGGCAGTAAAAAATGGACCAGGAGTTGAGCAAATAGTCGTGATTACACATAATTAGCATCCGTAGCTACCTATGCTTCTAAACAGTCTATAATACGTTGTATCAATCAATTTTTAAATTTTATCTTAGTGGATGTGCGTCTAATTCAAATATTCACGTCACTGTCATCGTAACTTGTTAACAAGCACTTCAGAGGCTATTTTAGCACGTACGTAGTGTCGGTTACGTTGTTAGGTCCATATAATTTATTCCAGCTTATGAAGGGGCCAATCTATTCATTCTATTTGTGTCACATTTCGGGCTTGTTAATTACTGGTTTATGAACATTGGCTGTTTTATTATGAGCGTATATGCATGCACTTCTCATCCTATTCATCACATGTCAGCAGTTTATTTTTCGTCTGGCTATAAATATTGATTAATGTTTGACCTCGCAGGCCTTCTCTAATGCATGCCATTTCGCTTCACTCTCTTCTCTTCGTCTCCTTTGCCTCATTCCTCAGATTGCCCACTCAGATCAATGTGTGAACATAATGTATTTATTTAATTCAGTTTTTCACTAACGCGATCTTAGTCCATAATTATATACGAAGGTTGATAACATGCATATTTCTGTAGCCTTTAAAAATGATGAAATCGGAGTCAGATATAGGTACACAAAATTAGGGAACCTATAGACAACATCGTCCGATCTAACTGACGTCTAAATGTGTGCCCCCATCAAACATCACTTATCAAATTTGGAAACATTTTTTTACAGTGCTAGAAGCTATGAATAGACTCTGATAATTAGTAAACTCATAAAGAAAAGTAGGAGTAATCTTTTTAAGAGAATCACTATTCGTCGAATTGTGTACTTTTCTTGTTAAGTCTAATAATACGAAACCTGAGTGGAAGACTAAGCTACCTGCCAATGACAACAATAACTAGTTTCACTAACTAAAGGTAAAGTATTGTCGCATTGATAAAACAGAGAACCAACACCCGAATTGAATAGTAATTGACATTTAACAATAAGCACTTAATTTTGTTTCATTGTTCAACTATCGTCAAGGTTATATATCGTCCTACACAATATTTTAAACAGACAATATGTTAACGCAATGTCATAGAGATGATGGTTCTTCTTATCATTGTAAACGAAGAAAAAACTTTGACTAATTATGTGTGATAGCGACTCAGGACTATCTATAAGCATGAATGGGAGTCAAAATGATTCACCTACTCAAAGTCTTGTCTTCATTAGAGTCATTATGCCAGACGAGACCAGTGAAGTAATACCTTACTTGTGTGATAACCTTCTGAAGACATTTAGTTTCAGCCCAACAGATTTAATCGTAGATGTCAAACTCACAGCTATAAAAAGATCAAGTTGTTGCTTGAAGGATGAGTTGAATTATGGTCTGTTTCTTCCCCCGTCAAAAGGAAAAGCTGGAAAATTCTTGCAAGAAGACAGAATGTTATTAGACTATCCCTTCGACGGTTCAGTTGGTCACTTAGAGGTAGTTTTATCCTTTCGGTATTACTTATTTTTTAGTTGAAATATAAACAACGCGTCTATCGTGTTTTGAAAACAAATGTGAATAAGCTCCGTAAAATAAATACCAAGGTAAGGAATTTATAAGAGCATTTATCATTCATTTATGACGTGTGAATGATATTTTATGGTCCATATTTGCACGTTTGAAAATTTGGTGAAAGCCGATTTTCCGAAATTTCACTGTCTTCGTGAAGTGTTTACTAAGTTGCAAGGATTTTGATTCTGCCAAGTCTCCGTAGAACCGTTTGTAGACATTAGATTTGTTATCAACAAAAAATCTACCATTTTGGCAGAAACTGGTTAACAAAGTTTTATATTTTCGTTCTGAAGAGCCAAATAGCCATTTTTATATACAATTGGTTGCTTGATTCACGTTCTCAATTTCCGGTTGAAAAAAATAAACAGTACAAACACATTCCTCAAAATTTTTTATCTTCATCACCGGTGACCTGACTTTTGCTCCTCATATGATATTTAAAACTCATACTGCTGAAGCTACATATGGTCAACTGTTTGATAAAGTAATGATTAAAAAACAATTATATGACTTATTTATTCAAATTAATAAAGAATTATGAATCCGTTTTTGAAGTGTTTCATTGGCGTGGTTACATGCAGTTTCACTACTAAAATATTTGGGGAAAATATTCATCTTCTAGGTTATACATCAGGTCCGAACATTTTTATTTTTCAATCACTGATGAAATTATAATAACTGAGTAAACATAATCTGGGACGCACACGAATGGATATAATTTTCGGATTAGAAAAATAAGTTAACTGGTTTTGTCAGCAGAAACAAGATACGAGTAAAAAGTGCAATAGTTTTTTTAATGGTTTCTCTAAATGTTTTTCTAAAAGTTTGAATTGTGTCTAGTAGTGCTTTTGTAGAGTAAGGAGAATTTATCATTGAATAATAACGACGTGTTTGTCCACACGCAGCTAAGACACAGCCATATATGGGAATTTTTATCCTAGGTTTAGGATTGTCAGCGAAACAAATAAGATCAAACTGTATATGTGACAAGACTGCGGAAATCTAAGCTTTTTTGTCAATATCGCTCACTATAAGATCAAATGCTTAGCTATAAGTCATAAAAATGACGATTTATTTCAAAAAAGCTCATGTTTTGAAATTAAAACTTGTAGCTGTTTGTAAATATATCTGATAAATAAACTATAAAGCCTAAACTGTTTTTCCTGTTTGATCAGATGTTTTAATCAAATGATAAACAATATATTTGTCTGAGTTGCTATGGTGTTTTTCTACCTGCCGAAGTGGTCAACCTTCCATATTTGATGTTTATTTAGACTTATCCTAAACATTACACACTTTATTAACCCTATGCCAAGATCTACTGACATAGGTTTGTTCAGAACATTCAGGCAAATTTGTTAGGATTGCAATTATTATCCAAAGATAAACCATCGTGTTTTTCTGACACTTTAGCTTCATACAAGGTATTTTTCATAGTCTTTTTGTATACTGAAAGCAAAGAAACAACGCGATAGGTAAATTATGTTTTATGATGGTTTAGATACGGGAAAATTTTCTACTGTTTTCGTCGTAAAGTTACCATCAGTGTTCAATCTGAAAAGTTCTATCAGGCGCTTTAAATGTTTTTAGGCCAAACATTTATATATTCTGGTGCTATCTTTTTAAATACACTTTTTTGCGCTGCCGAGTTTGTCGTGCTGGTCTGTTATGATCTCAAATATAAAAACTGGTTCTTCTTGCATTTAGTTTAATGATTATTTTCAATAATAGGAGCCAATCTAGGTGTGATGCAATCCCAAAGTAAAGATTTTGGGTAATTTAAACGATCTACATAGCTCAGTTATAACGTTTTCCAGTTATAAGTTGAGGTATGTAATCATTTTATGAGTAGTTGGTTCCGTCTTCCTCCTTTTTAACGTTTTGGTGACAAATTTTAGTCGGCGCTCAGAGTGTTTGATGCTTAAGACTATTTTTGTCATAATCTGACACATTGATGTTATATTATATCAGAGTTATTTATGTGTTTATCAACTAATACATATTCTGCACCTCATATTAGCGTAACGTCATTTATATAGAAACCACCATAGAATGCGCTTTTGTGTAATTCAGAATCTTTATGATAGTTATTAAAGGACGCTGATCAATTATTTATTTATACTATTTATTATATTTGAACTGCTCTTCAGTCACAATGAAACGTATTGTGTGTGGAGTACTAATTGCCATTAGACATTTAAAATTTTCCACCAAAAATTAATCTTTAATCAGAAACTATCAAAAGCGTTTTTTAATTAAGTGATTATTCGCTAAGATACACACAAGTTGAATACTTAGCTGCGTGTAAATACGTAACAGATTAGAGTATGTTGTCCATGTAGTACTTATTGCAATATAAATGAACATTTTGTGCGCATTAAGTTGAACCCTCTTGCCAAAGTGTTTGGTATAGTAGATTTGCAAAACCTGTTAGTACGTTTATCGTTCTTCAAAGACCATACAACGGTTGGCTTACGCGGCTGATGCGATAAATCGTGATAGGAGAGATAAATTCTGAACTTTGGTGTAGCTCTTTTCTGAGTTACTTTAAGTGATGGATGTAGCTCTTAATGAGACTACTGTAGTAATCAAAAGGTACAATCTGCCGCATTTTAATGTTTTACTCTCGTTTGTCGATCCAAAGTAAAATTATAATTTTAAAAAGGATAAAAATTGATATGTCACACTAACTATATTGAAGAAGGCATTGAATAATATGGTATATTTAAATAAATGCCAATTTACATGGGTAATAATGATTAGTTTTTCATCAAGGCTGTATACCAATATATATGTCTAACAATGATAATAAAATCTGTAACGATCAAGCAGCGGTGTGTTGAATTGTGATATTACCAATCGAAAGTCGTCTCTAAATTCTGTCTGGAATGATTAACAAAGTAATAGAGAGATGGGAGTTAGTAGATGGACTAGTATTAAGGGACATTTTTAGCAACAAATGAATGAATTAGAATATGCAGTGATACATTTCATAATATAACCTAAAAAAACTAGGCATGACTTTCAACTTAAAAGTTTATTTGCCACCCTCACTTAGTTACTTTGTCAGCCATTCTCAATTATTTTCATAAACAAACAAGATTGACGATTGATTGTTTTTGAAAATGTGGGTCAGGTTTGGGACGTATAATAGCAACAGCTTGTCTATGAGATAAATAAAAGTGTTACCATCAAGCGTCCTTACTTTGTTAATGAAAACGTTTTGGGAAATATTAAGGAGGCACAAACCAGTTTTTGCTTCTGTGTTTGTTATATTACTCTTCTAAAGGGTTGAAATCAGTGTATGCATGCATTTAATAGCGACATAAAAGTGGACTTACCAAATTTGACTGTGCTTGTAAGTGTTTGCTCTACACAGAATGGAAAATGCAACTTTAAGGTTGGGTTCTATTTAGTGCACTGTCAGGCACTTCACTGATTGTTCTTGCAACGTTATCATCTTCAAGGTCAGTGTGAATAAAAATGAAATTTTTACTGAATTTAGAGTATTTAGACTTTTATCTACAGTTTCTCTGTATTTATGGACAAACTTTCATAAAAACCATATATATATTAGTAAAGTCCAACACTTATCAATCTTCCTCTGAATTTGATGGTTATATATTCTTTCTACTCCGTAAAACAGTGCTTTTATCAACGTCTTCTTGGAACTGGCTGGGCAATGACTACTAAAGTTCAGGTATAAGTCACTACATTAATTCTTTTAATAAACCGGTCGTTGTATTTTACCACCTTCTTTCAGTTCTAAGTGGATCTTGTCAGTCTTTTCATGTTACATAGTAAGTTGGATGTTTCGATGCTCTTTGTTGAAAGCTTCCAACAAATGAGTTTCATGTTGTTGACTGTTAAACTAAATATACTAGACCTCAGTCCATGTAGAACAATGTAACAATTGATCTTTTTTTTCCGGGCCCAGACGTCTCAAGGGCAGACACAGAAATGTATGCCAGAACTTTATAACTCCCACTCGATTTGATGGCATATGATGCTGTGTGGCTGGAAACGAATTTCCTTTGTATATGGTCCTATGAGTATAAAGTTTCTGACATGTATTGCCACATTGCAGTAAGTAAATTTAGTGTGTTCATGGAACAAAAAGAAATGAATTATAACTATCAATTACCGTAAATTAAAAGATATATATTTGAATCGCATCTAACTAATTCCTGAATTTATTGCCTTATTATAAAAAACCAGATGATCTCTTCCCCTTGTAGGGGCACGCTTAACTGATTAGTAGGGTAAATCAATGGATAGTTATGATTAGATTGTTTCTTGTCAGGTCGTATACATCGTACTTCTTACAAATTGTAGATATGTGACTAGAATAAATGCCGTCTACCGTATATATGATTTATTTTCAGGATGGTATGCGAAACCAATCACCACGAGTTTATCCGGTAATTAGGAATTTATTTATCTGAGATGTGTAAATAGAAACACAACTGTTTGTTACATTTGAGTGGTTCGATTTGATAGCATAAACTAAGCTGTTTATTGAGCATAGATATTGCTCTAATCTTGATAACGTAAAAATTCCCAATTTTGCGTTAATTTGTCATTGAATATAAAGTCAAGTCGTGTGACCGACATAATATGTGGGAGTTTTACAGGCAGTACAGTTATATTACCCATTATATGTATTTAAAATATCTCCGAAAGAAACTCTGTCCAGTATTAAAGGAGCTACAAGTTTCAGGAGACTTAGACCTAGGTAGTAATTTCAAGTTATCTTTCATAACATACTGAAACCAAAAGAAAAAACCCATTTTAAATCAAGATGAATTAAATAGCTGTTTTGTCTCATATTGCGACTATTTACCATTAATACCCAGCTGGTGTCAGTTCATGATAAAGAACTAACATTAGTTTAGACGACCTACATAAACTTCAATCTAAAAACGATCCTCATCAGCGAATGTATTTATTGCTAAATGTTGCTCTTGAACGTTTTTCTTTTTATTATTTACTTGCTTTTAAAAGTTGAGTCAAATTTTACTGGGACTAAAAC